GGTCTCTTCGACTGATGTATACTACTGTTGTATTGAGCGTTATGTATTGAATGACAAGCCTACGCCTGTTAAGATGTGGACATTGCGAGAAAACGCGGTTGGACAAGGCTTTGAACGACGGTTTGGGTGGTTTTTGCAAGTCACGAAGAGGTTGCCGGTGCTCTACTCCAATAGATTACGAAGAGCACTGGTGGTTTTCTGGGCTGCGTAGGAATGCAGTTGCGATTGTGCGGCCGTTTGTAGGAAAACGCACAGATAGACCGGCACTGTTTGTGAATCCCTTCCTGGGACGCGATTCGTTCTCACTTTACGTACCGAGTAACCGGATTTTCTTGTTCGGTGTTCCTGGAACTGAGGACTATGGAGTAAAGAGCGCGTTTCCTGGTTAATCTTGTTGATGAATGCTGCTGGTCTAGGGAACATATCGAAGGTTTTCTGTGATCTGCATCTTCATGAACGGATCGACATATTGAATTCAGAGGGAAAGTAGTCAAGATATTACAAAATAAAACTAATTTACATGCCTTTGTACCTAGCAAGGGATTTCTGCAAATAAGTAGTACGGTGATCCTTATTTTGCAAAGCAAGATAAGTATCAGCAATACTAGTGTGCTCACGTATCATTTCTGCTACATCTACCATATCATTGTCAGACAATTCCTCATCCACCTCAATTGCTCGAATAGCAGCTGTCCTACGTTGCAGAGATGTCTCTGGAATCCAGGAAGTTGTTTTGGTAGGTGTCTGGGCTGTTGCATTCCTTGTAGAAGAAGCAAAAGTGACTGCGTCCGCTACTGTTTCGATTGACTCGCTGAGGCTTATTATTGCATTGGCTCCTGAAGTTCGAGGCCTCTTCTTTATAGCTGTAACCTCTGGCTCTAAGGATACTGCACGCTTAGAAGCAGTACTGGAAGTCTAGAAAGCATGTTAATATAGTCTGTAATGTGTAGGCTAAGTGTGAAAGGGACTCACCGTAGGGAGAGTCTCAGTGTACTGAGTGTCGTCTCCACCAGTGTCTGACTCAAAGTCAGAGATATCTTCCAAACTCTTTGGCACAGCTGAGACAGAAGAAGTCTTGTTGCTCGCGAGAGAACTAGAGCTGGCAGCCTGTAGACTAGGCGTGCCCGAAGTCTGTGTATTCTGGCTAGGCCGGAATGCACCCCTTCCATCAGCTACAATCCCTTCTACAAGCTCTGCCATTTCCTCATAAAGAGGAAAGCTCTTCTTGCGCCATGGCTTAGCATTTTTGTGTGACTAGGAACGAATATTAGTGAAGAAGGAAGAAGATAAGACTGAGAAGTTAGTGTACCACAAAATACGTCTCCCATACATTTGCTGGAGCAGTTGCCAAATGCTGGACTGGGTCCCAACCAAAGCCAGATGACTCCCTAATCTTCTTCACCTCCTGGTATGCACTTTTGAGCTGTAGAGATCGTATGAGAAATCATATGTCAATAAGCTCAACTTGTAAAGACATACTCTGTGAAACCGAGACCTAACATGCTTCACCTCCTTCCTAACCCCGCCACTCTCACTCTCTGTACCAGCAAGGGCCTCAACAGCTAAAGACCAGACGACAGGCTTCCAACCACTCTCAGCCTGGAGGCCATCGTCCTTTGCCTTCTTCAGCGTCTGAATCAGAAGGGCCTCTTGATCAGCTGTCCAGGAAGCAGTGTCTTCTGGCATGAGAACACTCGCTGATCACTAGTGTGTTGTGTAGAGAGCAAATAGACGTCTTCAGAGATGTGTAGAGGATGACTGGGGTGGACAAGTGAGGGTGAGACAAGAGGTACTGTTGATGTGGTATATGCGGTCTCATCTTTGGAGCGCGTGATCTCAAAATGAGATACGGCTCAGAGCCGTATCTCGTTTTTGGCAGGCGCGTCGTGATCACAGAACGAGATCAAGAATGTAGATAGAGGTGGCCGAACACCCACCTCCATCTCAAATGTAGATCATGATCACACAAGATCATCTCCTTCTCCTTTCGGAAGGAATGATCTTGTTTGATCACGCAAGATCATGTATCCGAACACCCTCTAAAGATGACACAACCCCGGATCTTGAACACTTTCAGAGGCAGAGGACGAGTAAAAATGTATCGGGATTTTCCGGAGCTGTTTCGGTTTTATGTAGAATGCTCCGAGACGATAACCGCAGCGTCGACGACGAGCACTCAAGAAAACGAGACGTCGCAGAGGTAAACGTTGAGGACATGATGAGCAGTACAGAAATGATTATAATTGACGCCGCAATTAGAGTTTTTGACGTGAAAGGCGATTGCGCAATCTGCTTGTCATTCTTTGTGCCATCATACAAGCGCCAGTAACCTGCCTACCTACGAAATATCTAATTATCAATCCTCTCTAAGTTTAAAATGCGTATTGACATATATTACATTGCGGTGAGCTAGACAACAGAACTGTGTACATAATCAACGAACCAATCATCAATTACATAAATCGAGATTGTGAGTTAACCAATAGTCAGCATCCAGCTGACTTTAATACAGAACAATACAATAGCATGCGAGTCTTTATGTACTTGTGCATGTAAAACCAGGAAACAAAGCAGAAAAGGGGAAACAAAAAGACGAATTCGCTTTTGCTATGTAGTCCATGTAAGATGCCACGCATTTTCATTTCTACTCATTCAAGAGTCCATAGAAAGTCCTAACGAAGTTCATATGCCTCCGTCATCGATATTTTGTCCCTTGAAGGGTAAAGTTGGATAGGAGAATAAGGCGAAGTAGATCGGATGTTCATTGTGCTTATTGGAAGTGATAGTTCTGTGTCCCATGACCGTGCGTCCACCGTCGTTCGGAGGATGCTGAAGAGAGCACGATTTAGGACGACAGTGGTCATCGCCCACACAAAACTATCCAATTAAAGCCTTAGAATAGCGGATTGAACCGAAATGGAGAAGAGAAACGTACAATACGCCGAGAACAGTTAATGAAGGCTACATATACAACCGGCGTCAGTAACCGAAGATACAAGTAAAAGAAGCCGATAAATACCTTTACGACTGAAGTGAGAAGTAGATTGAATAATCGTAAAGCTAAACATGCAGTGGGAAAACTCTCAGAAATTGATAAACTAAATTCTCTTTGCGAAGTGCGTACCAGTTAATGCCTATAAAATCATCAAATTCGTGTTAGTCTTTGAAACACATTGCATCTCAATGAAGCTGACTCACAGCGAAGAACCCAATCCCATCCCTAATAAGTCCACGCTTCACTTCACAGTTTTGTATATGCGGTCGGTCAAATGCGTTCAGGCAGACCGCAAGAAGAACAATGACCTCAAAGAGCATCTGATTACGACAAACCCGTTAGAGAAGGCGATTCATAACGACGTACAATAATAATAATGAAGCGCATACCGGGGAAGCCCAGACTGCCTTAAACTCAGCAATCGGTACTGTCACTACACACATGTGCACTTGTGGTTTATAAAACAGACTAGCTGATAAAGAGGACCAACGTGGCCAGATGAGTGGTATGTATTTACCAAAGAAATGAATTACTCACGCAATAGTTTAGTTAGAGAAGTAGTTATGAGGGCGATCGTTGTACAGAAGGACATAAGGAAGCCTATGAATAATATACACGCTACCCGCTGCCTCCTTGTATCAGATGCTTTGCCGGAAAAAATAGGTGAACCGTAAATGTACACACCCGACTGCGTTCCCAGAGATTGACAACACGTAACAGCACGAGGACATTTGCAATCGCGACCGATAAAACGCCGAATACAGAAGAGATGGCAAAAAATCTTCGACAATTCTAAAGAACGACCCATGTTCAGTCAATTTTCACGGATTCTCAAAAGTGCACTCACGTTATCAGAGCCTAGTACATTGTCCGTGAAATTATTCATAACTATACTGGACGTCAGCAAAAAATTTTGCATGATGGAAAAGCGAAAAGAGATAGCATACATATGGCAACCCAGATCAAAGTTGTGGGAACCATATATCGATTGCATAAAAATAGCCATTTTGCGAACGAGGACCTCGCTTGCCAGATAAGTCGTACTTCATCGTGAAACGTTATCATGTGATCATAAAGAACAATGACGAGGCCGACCCCTGACAGATAGAGTCGAAAATCATCAGCGACATAATCAACACGATGTATGCACATGGACCGACCATTGACGTATCGCGTTGCGTTAGCATCTTTTGCACATTCAATGAGTGATTCAGTCAGCTCAGCAACACCCAACATGACGAAGATCGGCCAGTATCATACAAGAATCCAGGATTAATGAAAGGGACGGTCAGGATAAGCTAGGGTGGCCGAAGGGGCGGGCAAGTTCTGCCAACCACTAGGGACCTTTTTGTATACTGAGCAATAAAGGGGATAGCAAAGAGGAACAATGAAGCTACTACGTTTGAGGCGTCCAACACACCAACAAAACGCGCATGTAGAGGGGGTGACGCCGGGAACAAGGAGTAAACACGTCAAGCTAGCGACGCATCTGTCCGGTTTTTAATCTTGACAGGGGTGATGGGACGAGGCGATCGTGACTTTATTTCACCTCAGCTGTGAGAACGAAGAAGTCTCAGATTGGGTTCATGAGAGCCTCGCTTGAAAAGGCCTTGAAGTAGTGCGTATTCGTCAGAATACATATACAGGTTAGACCGAGATGAGGCGCAGACGCGTTGCAATTGTAGAAGATCCTCGAGTTGCAATCCGAGCAGTTCCTTAGTATAATGGCCGGGTTTTAATTAGCACTGCACTGGCTGTGAGCCGGAAGACAGGCTGATAGAATCCCGTGATCCCACACTCGTGGGCATCAAGAAGCGTGTTGCGATCATCGAAACGTGGGGCACGGCGGAGCACATTTATGGACAGCCAAGTGCCAGCACAGAAGCGCGATAGAGACCCAAGCGGAGGTAGGACGATGATTAGGCGGGAATAAAAGCCATCTACGGACACGTGGATATCCGCGCCACGCGAATGCCGACAAACAATACCGAGCATGTGGTGTGAATGCATATCGATCAGCTTGCGCGGCCATGGCAAATGTCAAGACAGCATAGTGGCAAGTTTTAATAAAAGCTTGCTGAATTAAATCTTCTAGCATCCGACATCAGAGAAGATAGTGATAGGAGCTACATACTTTTCGGAGGCAATGCAAACCATGAAGCATTGTGATCACGTAAATGACGTCTTATGTGCTCCAAAGACGCACAGCTATCCCTAGTATTGATCCCACCTCGGAGTTCCGATATTACAAGGGACGTTGTGCGGGGACAAAATAAGTGCTCTATGTGTTCTTGTCACAGAAGTCATAGGCCTTCGTCGGGCATCTTTGATTTCCTTTAGATGCACTTACACGAAGTCTAACTATATAGCTCCAATGATCAGGCACTACGCAGCGATCGAACGCTTTCATTATATACGAGAAAGTTCCTGGTTGATTGCCCAATGCACAGCTTGTTCAACATCGCCAGTAATATGGGATGGCTTGTGCGTTGGAGGTCCGCCAGCAGGATCGTACACCCCTGTCTTCACAAGGACCGATGACCATCCTACCGCGTTCGCTCCAGCTATATCTATTGATTGTTCTGTCCTTAGCTTTTAATATCACGAATACTTTGTAGTATAATACCTGATTCAGGGTTATCTGGAGAAGTGAATCAGCGCCGCATGTCACGTCAGAACGTCACGACTTACCTCCCACCATATACCTGAAGCAGGTACGCCTTGGATCAGTAACTGTCATCAGCAGCGCAGGATCGCCCACTTACACATTTGGAGTGTAATCATTCACTTCCTTCGCGATTTTCATGCTGTCCTGAGGCTGATGATAAAGCAACTCTTTTAGACGTCCACGCAAAAGTTGTTCCGCGAACGCATATGTTGCTTTCGTCGGTTTTCCAAACTGCATACAAGGATATGGCTTCCCATTTAATGCTTGATACACGGCCTGGAAGGCGACACGGAAGCCGCCTTGCCCGATACGCGGTGTAGGGTACTCATTTCCCCATAACAGATCCGGGTTGCAGAAAACAAGGCTCACTGGCTCCTGCTCCTGCGGAGCCAGGGCCTCAGTAGTAGGTCGCTTTGGTGCTGGAAGGACATAGCCATTATTGCATATGATGTCGCAAGTTATTTGGGCGTCCAATGCCCAGTTTCGCGGATCGTGGAACACGAAGACGCCAGCAAAGCATGTGGTAGGGTCAAACTTTGGTCGAGACTGCCGGTACTGATAAATAACTAGTCCTAAGCGATTTTGAATATCAGCCGAGACCTACATCTATGAATGCGCGCTCCTCTGAAGTAAGGTCATGGAACGGCCAGACGCTGCACAGCATTAAGCGAATGCTCTAATCTAGATGAAAATGATAACTTACTTCGGATTCCAGCTTAAGATGTCGAGAGTGGTATACACCTTTCGAAAACCATATCTACGCAAATATGGGAGATTAATAATGGGTTGATGCTAATTTTAACCGTCTTACTCTTTCGCTACCTGAGGAATTGCTCCCGGTCTTCCACCGAGGACAAGAACTGGCTTGTCAGCGTATTGTTCCACCACGGTTTTAAGGACCGTGTGTGCTTGCATAAATTGACTTAAGGACACCTAGAAGGTCCTATTAATCAAAGGATCGGAACGTATAAGCTATAGATACAGACTTCAACACCAAGTGACTTAGACAATCGCTGACACTGGGTCGTCTCGGACACTCCACCTCCATTCGTTATCTATTTGGTACTTGAGAATGACTCGCAAGGCTCCATTGACTGCAAAACTCACGAAAATATACGGAATCTTTCTGTGCCTCAAATAAGCTAAATTCCAGCAAAGCGTCACAGGATACTTACATACCTAGTTCGTTCTCGCCATCTAGCATCCTAAGAGCGCGTCTGGCTTGGGGAATAACTTCGTTGCCCCGAAGTAGCACGCCATCCTGTAGCATCAATTAGCGCTGCTAAACCTGTTATAGTAGCCATCTTACGGACGATATCGAAAGCAAAAGCCAGCGGTGGTCGTGATTGACGCTGAGCTAGTCCCAAGTGGCAGATCGCATTAGCAACAGATTTTTTCAGCCAAACAATTTACAGCACCTCTAGTCGAACTGGAGGCTAGTGAGTTCCATCGCCTCTGACATTGAACGAGCTGCCTTGGTAGGCGACAAGAGGTTGCCTGCGAGAGTGAGAAGAACATGAACGTCGGAGGCAAACCTTACACTGCCGGAATAAGATCGACGCGAGATGCGCGTTGTGCCCGTCTTCTGGCTGAGCGTCAGGGCCTGCCATCATACACCATAAAAATTTGCCGTCAATTCAGATGGCGGGAAGCCTGCTTGATTGCCGCTCGGCCTCTATCTGGCGGTCTCGGAGGTGCCACCAAGCGGGAGAGGTCTGCTGGTTGAGCCTCTCGTCTAAACACTCAGGTGGACAAAAAGTACTCAACCGAGCCAAAGGTGAGCAATCGCATCAAGGTTTAGACTTAAGCATTACAATTCTTGTCGTTATCGATAATAGTAACACTAGTTTCAGGAACAGATGCCTACTCAACGGCCAACGAGAGGGCATCTGCCCTCATACTCTGGCGATGTGGCTAGTGAAGTTCGCTCTTGGCGCCGGGACAGTTCTCGGTCTGGAATCAATCTTAAAGGAGTCGCCAGTGCAGATGAGGACGAAGATGTTACCAAAAGTCCCTTGACAAGGCTTAGAGTCTGGCTCGCAAATATGCTTGCTCCGTCAAGTCTCCCAACCCGTGCAGGGAGTAGAGGCATGCAGATGCGCTCCAGGAGAGCCAACATATTTCTCCTTCTCATTTGTGTTTGTGTTGTCTACTACTGGACGCGGTCAAAATCAAAATCCGCGTCAAGCAACGCACCGACACCACACTTCGATCCCCAGGTAGCGTTGCAGGATGCGCGCCGGCAGAAGTTCCGGACATCGGGGCATGTATATCGTTCCGATGGATTACTTGAGGTCAACCCGAATGGTACCCATCCGATCTTCGACCTAATAACAAAAGCGGAGGCGGCCTGGCAGAAGAAATTAAGAAAAGCAAGTGCGACATTTCAAGAAGCAGTCGAGGAATACGTCCATCGCTACCATCGACCTCCGCCAAAGGGATTTGATAAATGGTGAGTACAATACCAACCTCTTGTCCAGTAATTGTCCTCACTTGAGACAGGTGGGAGTATGTACAGGAAAACAAGGTGCAGCTACCTGATGAATACGATGTCATCAATGAGCGCCTCGAACCGTTCTGGGGAATTCGCCCTCTGGACCTCCGGCGCATCATGTCTGACTGGGAGGATCACAGCGATGTTCCAGTTATGGTCTTCGGTAAAGCCACCGGCAAACCAATCAGGATATTGAAGAATGGAATGCCAGAAGCACAGGCCGACATGTTCGCTGAAGCGCTCCGAGAGCGTCTCAACATAATGCTGGACATCGAAGATGATCTTCCGGAGTTTCGAGCTATCATCTCACCCGGTGATACACCAAATCTGCTTGGAGATTGGGAGCTACTTGCAGAAGCACGGGAGGCAGCAAGAAAGGGAACTTGTAAGTATCATTCTGAGATTGCATCTCCGTCGCACATTACTTGAACAATCTGCAGTCATCGATATTGATGGACCACCACCGTTGAAGCACGGTTGGTTGGCTGCATGTGAACCATCCACCCCGGCCCATAGGCGTCCTTTTGATTTTTATGCACCTGTTCCAGCGGAAATCCTGCAAAGGAAGAAGAAAACATTCGTACGCGATCACAAAGCAACAATGAATCCATGCAATCACCCTTCGCACTTCTTCCTCGGCGGCCAATTTCTATCCCATTACGAAGGACCTTCACCGCACCGTGTGTTGGTCCCGCAATTCTCGTCCTCAACTACACTCATACACTACGACTTGCTACCGATCCCTCCATCAGGTTGGGGAGAAGAGCGGCGCGATGTCCCTTGGGAACACAAGTACGACGAGCGTCTGCTCTGGCGTGGAGTGAATACCGGTATGATGTGCACGCCGCACACTCACTGGCGGCAATCGCAGCGCTTTAGGCTCGTAGAAATGGCGAACTCGGTGGAAGGAGAGATCGTTGTTTTGCCTCCTCCGAGGGAAGGTGAGCAGCTGAAACCTATCGGAGAAGGGGTGAAGTGGCCGAAAGCACGGATCAATCCCGCGATCATGGATATCTCATTCGCTGGTACTCCTGTGCAGTGCGAAGAACCTACATGCGAGGAACTCAGAAATCATTTTGATTGGAGAAAGCGGATGGACACTCAGGAATCAAGCAGGTATAAATACGTGATTGATGTAAGCTAATTTCAGTATCCTTACATCTTCGTGCTGGGCTTGTTGAACGGATTCATCAGGTTGATGGTAATGGATGGTCATCACGCTTCAAGCGTCTCATGGCCAGCAACTCTCTGATTTTCAAAGCGACTGTATATCCGGAATGGTCCGTACATTTTATTTCAACCTCCTTGCTCTCTTGTACTTAATCTACAATCTTCACATACACAGGTTCGCTGACCGCATACAACCATGGGTACACTATGTCCCAATCAACTTTGATTACTCAGACCTACACGACGCATTCATCTTCTTCAGAGGCGATATCTCGGGCGAAGGCAACCATGACGACCTAGCTAAGAGGATCGCACTCGCTGGGAGCAAATGGGCGAGCACTTTCTGGCGCCAGGAAGATGCTACCGCGTATATGTATAGGTTTGCGCGACATTTCGCATCATTTCTTTACCGCCGGGACTCATTAGTTTGTTTTTGTGCATCGCCTTTGTTAGGTTATTATTGGAATATGCGAGAGTTATTAGCCTCGATCGAGATGCAATGTCGATGAATCTTGCGGAATACGGAATTTAGGGAATCTGCCTATGGATTATTGATGGATTCTTTCTTACATGTTTTTCGGTAGCTTTCTTTTGTTTTGGGCGCATTTTATTCTGAAAGGCTTGCATAATTATATAGCATATACACGACAATTTTGTTTGGGAACAGAAGCCTGCGTCTTACGACAAGTTACTTGCTACCACGTATGAAACAAATTAAAAACGGGATGAAACAACACGGGTGCAAACGGCATCAGGACTCTAAATACATATCCCAGCGAAAGGAATATTGATCTCGTCATCAATATTAGTGGAGGCATGGCACAGGTTTGCGTGATTGCAATTCGCAAATGACCTTTTATGTTATGATATGCTTGGTCAAAGTCCGGGATTATCTGCGATCATTGGTGGCTACACTTTAATCAACGTGAATAAATACCGTGAGTCACCGCACATGTGCACGTTAAGTATCGAGTATCAGCGTTGCACGGTCCGCCCCTTGCTGCCAAGGAAGACTTCAAGGCTAACTTTGGGGTATCACTATTGGAGCGAATGGGGGTGCTCTTGGATGCGTCGACGCAAGCTACGTTGGACCAGACGATCCTAGGCATTCATGATTCCAGGATAATTCGATATGTTACTGGTGAGTGTCTTTTCTATTCTACTTTCGACCAATGGGGTCGCTTATTTGTGATGACGCCGATAGCGGTCGGGACGGTTCTCATGCTATACGATCATGTCCTCACGTTCGCCGATGAGGTGCAATACATCTGGAAAGCCCGACCTTCAATCGCGAAATGGTTGTTCTTGATAAATCGATACGGAGTACCCATCACCCATATCTGTGTAGCAGTCTGTAAGTCTCACATCATCTAATTATTTATCCCTGCAAAATCCGGACTGTTATTTATTGACTTTTACTTGTGCGTGTTAGTTATGAATCATTTCGGATTTGATTCACTTTCAAAAGCGGTGAGCCGTACTTGAAGATAGTACTGGGAACGAGTAACCTAATTAACCATTCACTTAATATCCTAGAGTTGCCAGGGCGTCGTTACTATTGCATTCTTGCTGGGTGTCGCTTCCAACGCATGTGCCAACGTCCTAGTAATTCTTCGGGTTATCACTCTATGGGACCGAGACTACGTGAGTCTTCGATGCATATCCTATTCTTAATTCGCTACCTCCATTCTTTAGTACTTGGAAACTAATTAAATCGATATGGTCTGTAGCGAGTTGCAGCACTCATGGCACTGAGCTTCTTCGCGTCGTTCTTTGCATCTTTGTCCATTCTGATATCAATCCTTCACGATGCATACGGTAAGCCATATCATCTTGAGTGCCATCCCACGCTGCACTGACAGAATACCGACGTTGTAGGACAATTTCAATATATTGCCTACATACATACCTGCGTCACCACTCTGAATTCGAAGAAGCTCCCTGCGCTGTGGGCGTCGGTTGTACGTCTAGTTTCACCGCCATACTTGAAGAACTCCATTTCGACGCCTGACATGTGCTATTCTGTTGGTGAATATTTAGCTGGTCTTCGAAGTGCTAGTCCTGCTATCTGTGATTTTCAACGCTCTCAGTCGACCACGAAGCCGTGCTAATCCATTACGACGGTCTTTGTACCGTGATGGGATATTCTTCTTTGCTGTGCGTATCACTCTCAACTAGACATATCTTCACGAGAAATAAATATCTAATTGTTATCGCGTCGGTACAGTGTTCTGCGAGTCTGCAAACCGTTAACCTCGTAATGTCCGTGGCAGCCCCAGTAAGTATCACTTTCCTGCGTCTTGCCATGACTTATTCCCAGCTGTCCTCCTTACGATAGTCATCACTCGATACGAGCCCAGTATTGTACGTCCTTCTTTTCCTCCATGTCAAAAGCCAGAACTATACACCAGGAATCATCTATCGCTAACTCCTGCTTTCATAGTTTCGTCTGGGCACTAATCACACTCATCCTCAACCGCTCACTCCTCAGCATCCACAAAGCCTCTCATGCATCTCAATATCAATCACATTCTTCCTTCCCGTCTTCCTCTTCCTCCTCTTCTCTCGGACTTAAAACGGGGAACCACACACAACACCATCACAGAAACTCAACTAAAACCATCACGTCCGTGCAATCTCACATTCACTGTATTTGTCCTCCTCGCATCCCCGGTCACACAGCAGAAGTAAACACAAACAACAACGAATCGAATTCGGACGTGAATTTGGGTATGAGGATGGGTTGTCCTAGATGCGAGTTCGTCGACGTTCCCGTACAAATTCAAGAATTTCAACCAGGGCACGAGCGAGTGCATGGATGGGGACGAGGAAGAGAACACTGGTACGGTCGGATAGATGAGATAGGGTCGGAGATAGAACTCGAGAGTCGAATGCTCAGCGGACGTTAGCTGTCCTGCTTAGAGGCCTTGTATTAATTAAACAATTTTCTGAGGGTCCAACTTTACCTAGTTTCTTTCGTTCTCTTGCCTTTGCTTCGTATCCTTTTCCTTTCTGTACTCTTGTGATATTCATTAGTTAATACTGTATTGTATTTAGTTATTCTGTCATGTACTATTATTTCCCCTACCTCTCCCTGTTGCGCTCTGGTTTTTATTCGGATTATTTCACAAGTAGTCTATCTGTATCTTTAATAATGTAATTGTACGTACACACATACACGAATGCTCCTTCTGTATTTTCGGCATCCTTTGGAAATATCAGGGGAGGCACATAGCATTGCCAATGATACTTTTAGCCACTCAACAGACGCAATCAATCAATCATTGAATCAAAGATACCCCAACCATATCAAGTACCGCATTCGAAATTCGTCTCACATAACACCGCAATGCACATTGCCAACACCATCTCCCATCAACTTATGTGAAAAAGCTTAAAAATGAAGAAAAGCGAAAGAGCATATACTCTATTCCTCCTAACATAAATACTATACAGTCCGAGTAGTAGCCAGCCCAGTCCGGTTTATCATAAGATATACGATATACGAGAGCAGGGTAAAAATCAAGTCGAAGGAAAGGGAAGACCATTAGTGGGTTGTTTCGGCGGGTGGACAAATGTTGTAACTACGAGCTACGTAAAACAAGTGGAGTAGCGGTGTAGTGTGTAACTATGGAGTCGTCGGACAAATGTAGATATGAAATACGGGTAATGCGCAAGTGCCGGGTATGAAGGAAGGAAGGGCGCGATGCAACTATGCTACGCCTAAAGGAAGCAAATCAAATAAAAATCCGATGCAAGACGAGAGAATTCCACGAAATAGGCATCTAGCGCATGCAGATAATTTTTAGAGGAAGAAAGGATCTCCCGCTCAGTGGTGTGAAGGGCCACGTGGACGGAAGAACTCGCGGTCGTTGGTGAAGACATTTTCGCCACGGATGTTCAGGAAAGAGTACTCAGCAAGCTCAGCATCACCGCCCTTGTTGTAGTTGTTGTACACCAAGTTGGGCTCAGTCCAGAAGGGACGAAGGCCAGCGGACTCGAGCATCTCCCACCAGCTGAGGAACTCGGCGAACTTCTTGTTCCATACGTGCACTTCGAGCTGGAGCTGGCCGAAGGGGAGCGGCTCGCCGGACTCGAGGTAAGGCTTGATGAGCGAAGTGAGCGTCTCGAACTCCCAGCTCTCGATGTCGACCTTGAGAATGTCAATGTGCTTGTGGCCGTTGCGTGCCATGAGAGTGGCAAGCGTGAACATCTTGTGTTCACCCTCCGAGTCCGAACCAGCCAGCCCGTACGGGAAGAAGTGTGCACGGCGAAGGAGTGCGTTGTCGTTCTGAATTTCAGGGCCGAAAGAAGAGACGGAGAAGTCGTATCCCCAGACCTCGCAGCCGGTAGTACGTGAAAGAAGCTCAGCCTCAAAGGACGATTCATGGTTGATACCGACGGAGTATACTACGCAGTCTGGCTTGCGTGCGACGCGCTGAAGACCGCAGACCCATTTTCCACCATCGCCAAGTGCACCAATGCGCTCAACCGAGTGCGGGCAGTTGAATGCTGCAGGGACGAAGTCCCAGACAGTGTATGGCGGCCAGGGCTCCTTGTCGGGAGGGAACCTGCGTGACACGTCAATATAATTGGTATAAAAAATGGCGAAAAAAAGTTCAATTGCAAACTCACATCACGACTTTGTCTGGTGTCGGGCCAAACTTCTTGACAAGGCCTTGCCTTTGTCTTAGCATCTTCTGGTAGACACTCTCTGCATGGTCTAAACGAGCTTGCAGATCCCCTGCTGACGTGGTGAAGTTGTCAATGATCATGGGTGGAGGCGGAGCATGCTGGGACGCTAAGAGAAGGAAAGTGACGAGCAGGGCAACGGCAGAGAAAAGAGAGTAGCGAGGATGGCGCTGGAAAATAGTGGGAGCCATGGTGAAAAGCAAGCCGTAGGTCGTCAGAGAGCGTCGATGAAAAGCAAAAAAGAGGGAGCGGGGAGGGGCGGAGGTGGTGGTGGTGGTGGTGGGAGAGAAAGTAAGTAAGACAAGGAAAAGTACCGACGGCTGCGAAAAACCAGAACCAGATGGATCACAGCCATCAGCGCTGTCGTTGCTTCGTGGAACTTTCTTATTCCACAGCCTATCCCTTAACCAGCCCAGGGTTATCATTACATAAATACTCTTGGCATCTTCTCAATTTAAACTGCTTGATATCTTACTTTGTGCAATGCTTTTTATTATTTTGTAGTCTAAACAGATACTGGCAGTACAAGCAGTGCTCTACGTCCGAAGCAACACTTTGCCAGCTTCTCGTCTTACGTCTAGTATCTCTGGTGTGTTCTTTGTATGCTTTTGTCCTTTTTAATATTTCTGGATTCATTCATAGATGTTGTGGCAGACATTGCCAGTGGCTCAGGCGCTAATGTCCAGGTGGCAGGTACACGCTGATGTCGCCTTCACGGAAAAGCTCCTCGACGCATAAGTGTCCCAATCGCTCCTCAGACTTGTCGTTGAACAAGCCCGCGAATGGATTCGACTTGAACAGTTCGGACAGAACACGAACCTTGACGAAGCTATTCTGCATCATCTTTCTGCCCTAGGATATTTCCCTAACGGCCACCCAATCGTTCCGGATTTCTGACAGCTTCTTGTCAGACTCGGTAATTCTGATCATACGTGATACTCGGGGGACTTTGTTCCTTCGTTGTTCCCTTGATTCAAGAAGTTTGGGACTCATGGACAATTGAAGACTGTATGCAATTACTCTAGTGTGCTACTGCACATACATTTCCAGGTCAATTATGCGTCTCAAAGCTGTTAGTCTATTGGTTGTCCTTGCTTGAAATTGTCCTTATTGTACCTTGTCTAGGGCTTCCAAGGCAGCAATGTCGCTTCTGCAGTGTACACACAAGATGCATAACAACTGTAACTTTTGCCAAAAATATCAAACAAGGTCTATAGGCTTCTTGAAGTGGACCTCTCTTACACTGTCCCAAAATTTCAAATTACTACTCGAAACCCAATCAAATCTATTGTTTAACCCTATCACATCACAGTAGCATTTTCCAGCATGGCCTGAGCAGCAAACAGTTGCTTCAAAACTATAAATCCTACTCATCTTAGGAGCATTGTCTCATCCTCCATCCTAAACACAGTACACAGTCAGTATTTCCCCACCCCTCAGATTTCTCAAAGTTAATCAACTTCATATAGTATCTGTTTGTCCAGAAATGTGCTTCAGTAAAAGGTCCTTCAAATCGTCTAAAGGTTGTTTACATGGGGGAAGTAAACTGTGAAGACAAGTTAGCACTGACAGGTAATGTATCCTGTGTGGAACTTTATCTTATTTTGCCACAAAATTGCATTTTGACCAAATATGTAGGCAACCTGGGGAACATTGAAGCATGGCAACAGACACCATTGACCTTATTTAGGAGTATCGCAATTTTGTATCTGGCTGCTGGCAGCTCTTTGGACAGACAGGGAACCAAGAAGTACTTGACAAGTGTATAGTTTGTATCTGTTCATCTCTCGAACTCGAGCCAGAAGGGCAACCCAGTCGATTGGAATTCTTACACGCCCTTGCAATATTGCTTCGTACTCGATACGAGCATTGGGGACAACTGGAAGATTTAAATGAAGCAATTAAATTGTTCTGAGCTGTTTTGGAGCTATGACCTGAAGGTCATCCTGATCGATATATATCTCTGTGCAACCTCGCAGTTTCCTTACACACGCGGTTCTTAGAGTCCGGACAGATCAATGATCTCGAGGAGGCAATCGAGTTGCAACGAGCTTCCCTGGGTCTCTGCTCAGAAGGACATCCCGATCTTTCTGGGTCATTGAGCGATCTCGCAGCTATTCTTTCAACACGATACCAGCAATGCGAGCGGGGGGAAGACCTCGAGGAAATCATCAAGTTGCACCAAGCCGCTCTCAACCTGATGCCCGAGGACGATCCTGATCGTCCTATGTCTCTAAACAACCTTGGTGATTCCCTTCGTTCTAGGTTCGAGAAGAATGGAAGATCTCAGGACCTTGATGCAGCAATAGACTTGCAACAAGCTGCTGTGGACCTTGAGCCGGAAGGTCAACCATCTCATCCTGCATCTCTAAGCAACCTTGCAGGTAACCTTCGTACTCGATTCAATCATCGTGGAATGGCTGAGGATCTCGAAGAAGCCATCGAGTTGGATCGAGTTGCTCTTGAGCTTCGCCCGGAAGGCCATCCTGAACGTTCCATGTCTCTGAATAACCTCGCAGGATCGCTGTTCACTCGGTCCCGCGAGCATGAGAGGATCGAGGATCTTAACGATGCAATAGATCTACACAGAGCCGCATTAAAGCTACGCCCCAGAGGCCATCCCGATTTTTCTATGTCCTTGAACAATCTTGCAGTTTGCCTGTACAGTCGTTTCCAATTTGTTGGAGAGACTGAGGATTTGGACGAAGCAGTCCAGCTGAATCAAACTGCGTCAGAGCTTCATTCCAAAGGCCATCGCCTTTACACCAAGTCTCTAACTAATGCTGCTCATTTCCTTGAAACGGGCTCCTCGCAGTATGAGAAGCCCGAGGATCTTGACAAGACAGTCGAATTGTACCGAGCTGCTCTGGAGCTTCATCCCAAAGAGGCTCTTCTTCATCCGGGTCGTCTCAGCAACCTTGCGTCTTCCCTCCGCAAACGATTCGAGCAGCATGGAAGGATCGAGGACATCGAGGAGGCAATCAATCTACATCGTCTCGCCCTGGAGCTTCGGCCTGAAGGCCATCCAGAGCGTTCTTCGTCCTTAACTTGCCTCGCATATTCCTTATATGCTCGAATCGAACAGCGATGGTGTAAGGAAGAGTTTGAAGAATGCGTAGAATTACTGAAGCTCGCTGTTACCCACAGGTTCTCGGGAGCAACAGCGCGTTTAATTGCTGCAAAACTGTGGACATCATTTGCACTCCATCACGGTCACTCCTCTGCCTTTATAGCTTACAAGTCTACAGTATCTGTACTTCAACATGCTCTCAGCATAAACCCAACTCTCCATGAACAACACGAGTTCCTTCTCAGGGACGAAATCTACAGCATACTTACCAAGAGGACGGCTTCCTGTGCGATCGGGAAAGACTGTTTAGAACTGGCTATTGAGATACTTGAACAAGGAAGAGGCTTGCTATGGTCACAGTTGCGCGATTTCAGGACTCCTCTAGACCAACTTGCAGAAACAAACAAAGAACTTGTCGATAATTTCATGAATGTCAGTCGTCAGCTGGAGAATCTCGCGAAGTCGCGTGTAGAGTTGACGGCTACATCGACCAGGGATGGAGGTAGATCACTTAGACTGTACAACGAACCAGGACGGAAATATTTTGACGAACTGTTGAAGGTGAAGAGAGAACTTTCAACGCAGCAGGAGGGGATTATCAACGAAATTCGAGGAGTTCCGGGATTCGAGAATTTCCTGGAAGCGATGCCATTCAAGCTACTGCAGCAGGCAGCTTCGGAGGGTCCGGTCATCGTGGTCAATTTCGGAATTACTCGTTCTGATGCCCTCATTATCCTCGGTAATGACTTACCAGTCGTCTGTGTTCCGCTGGACAAGAGTTTTTCCTTGGATAGTATACATCTTTGCATCGATCTCCGGGAAAACGCACCGACAGTTTGGAGCCGATTCGGCGGAATACGACAAGGAGCTTCGCGGAGCCATGAAGATGCTATGGGACAGAGTTGTTTCTAAGGTTGTCGTGAAACTTAAGGAGCACGGGATCGCAGAGGGAAGTCGTATTTGGTGGTGTCCAACTTTTATATTATCAATACTTCCATTCCATGCTGCAGGGCCGTTCGAGGACGAAGATGGAACTTGGAAATACTTATTAGACAAGTATATCTCATCATATACTCCAACGCTCGGAGCCCTCATCAATGCACGGTCAGGCGGTAGTGGAGGCGAACCAACAGTGCTTGTCATCGGAGACACCTCACTTCGGTCAGCTAAACAGGAGATTAGAAATATCCGAAATTGTGGGATTAGCACCAAATTACTCGTCGGCAAAAAAGTGTCTCGTGATGCAGTGGTCAAAGACCTCCGGGAAGTGACATGGGTCCATTTTGTTTGTCATGGCCAATTAAATCAGGATCCCTTCGACGCTTCGTTCAATCTATCTGATGGTGGGTTAACGTTGCTCGATATTGTTCAAGATAATCTTCCGAACGCGGAATTCGCGTTTCTTTCTGCTTGCCATACTGCAGAACAGTCTCACAACGGTGCACACGACGAAGTCCTCCACCTAACCGCGGCCATGCAATTTTCTGGCTTTCGTAGCGTGATTGGGTCGATGTGGGAGCTACTTGATAAGGATGGACCCGCGTTCGCTAAGACTGTTTATGAGTACATGAACAATTGCGAGGAGGGCGAGGTGAAGTATAAGAGGGCGGCTGCGGGACTTCGCAAAGCTGCTATAGAGTTGAAAGCACGGGAAGGGATTGCGACCGAACGATGGGTTAATCTTGTGAATATTGGTGCGTGCATAAGTGAGTCCCGTTTTAGTAATTATTCCTGCGACGTGTCTTATACTTTATTTTACTGTAAGAGAGCTGCAGCAGGACTACGAAAAGCAGAATGGCATTCAGACTGAACAATGAGTCAATAATAATATTGTGCAAATAGGTGTTTGAATGGTTATGATAGCCTAAAGGGACATTGATAGTGAACATGTAACATGTATCTTTTAGCATTAATGCACTAATACCTTTCATTTTCTTTTAAAGTATTTCAAGTCTGATTTCCTTCCTTTTCCCATGAAAATATGTTTGTTCAGCAAATAAAATCGTAATCAATTTCCAAAATCGAGTCCTGTCATATTCTTTCATTGTTTCTTGACAATTGTTCTCCCATAACGTGCCTATTCACCTTGTTGAGCTATTCTGGAGCTAAGAATAAAGCACACCTTACCTTAAGAATATTATGTTCTGGAGAGAGACTGAAAATCCTTGAGGTCTACAACAAGCTCGTCTTTGTCGATTTCGCCGTTCTTCGTCGGACGTGCAGCATATACCCCAACTTCGATCTCTCCCTCCTGTTCGAACGCCCATGTCACTTCTCTCACAGGCAACTCGTCGCGTTTCCCATTTTTCACGACGTATACAAATAGACTGGAGCCTTTTTCCGTCTCTGTGTTAATCTCTTCTCTTTCGAATTCAATAGTGACGGAGTCGGCATTGTCGTCAAGTGCACTGAGACTCCAATCCGCCCATTCCCGAGCAGCGACGACAGAGAGGTTTGCCCGGCCGCCTACATATTCGATTCCGGCTTTAGCCCGGGTGCGTTTCGAGCCTAGGGTGGATGTAGGAAGGAGAATGAGGAGACCGCCCTGATCGTATAATCTCGTCCATGGAGCAGACACGGTTACTCGTGCACGATGGAATGATTGGGAGTTTAGTTTCGTTAAGTGTATGGGTGCGTTAGAGACGTCTCTTGTAGGTGGTTTGCGCCATATGTCAGTTGCAGGACTTGCTTTGAGCTGGATAGACTCCATGTTACTATGTGATATTAATATTAATAATGTGGGGAAGAGTTAGCCGTGCGGAAGTACCGGATCAGGGCGGACCAAATAGCCGGCCATCAGGATACAGCAATCACCATGCTCCGAATGCAACACACAAAGGAGCTGTTGAACTTAAACAGGCTGATAAGTATTCAGACTGAGATATGGGTCAACTTGGTGCACCTATGCACTTGATTAAATCTAAGATGTTTAGTAATGAGCATGCATTTCTTTAACTTAGCACCCATTTCTTTCATTTTTTCCCGAAAGCATCTTAAATTCCTTTATTCTATGAAAGTGTAATAATCTAGATAGAGAATATTTGTAACCATATCTAAATCCAAATCCTAGTACATTGCTTCATTGCTTCTCAACAATTGTTATAACAAGATTGCCTATTCCTCCTATTGAGCAAGCCAAAAGCGAGAAATAAATTGCACCTTACCTTGATGTTATTATATCTTGAGCCTTTGAACAGATTGATAATCTTTGAGGTCTACAGATAGAACGTCTTCGTCGGATTCGCCATTCTTCGTCGGACGAGCAGCATATATCCCGACGTCGACGTCGCCCTCGTGTTCGAATGCCCATGTCACCTTCCTTGCGGGTATCTCTGCGCGATTTCCGTCTTGTACAAGGTATACAGACAAACTCGAGCCTTTGCCTTTCTTCGCATCAACTATTTCCCTTTCAAACTCGATGGTAATTGTGTCTGTATTGTCCTCGAGAGCGCTAAGACTCCAATCTGCCCATTCCTTTGCAGCGACGACGGAGAGATTCGCACGACCGCCTACGTATTCTATTCCGGCTTTAATCCAAGGACGTTTTGAGCCACTGGAACCAGGGAGGACAATGAGGAGTCCACCCTGGTCGTATAATCTTGTCCAAGGAGCAGACACGGTAACGCGTGCGCGGTAGAATGATTGAGAGTCTAGTTTTTCTAGTACCTGTGTGGGTGCGTTGGAGACATCTGTTGCAGGTGGCTTGCGCCATAAATCGGTACCAGGCGAGGCTTTGAGCTTGTAAGGCTCCATGAGTGTTGATAATAAAAGGGATGCGGGGAAGAGTAGCCGTGTATTAAAGCCGGATCATGGCGGGCCAAATAGCCGGCCATCAGCGCATCACAGACAGCGATCACCATGCCCCTACGCGACAGACCAGACTCAGATCCACCACTCCCGTCCACAACACACATACACATGCCCTTACTTACTACTCGTAGCGACACACATCCCTTACCCGCCAATTAATATTTATATTTATATCGACGTCGACAAGAGAGAGCGATGGCGTCACCGCCGTCCTCGTCCAAGATGCATGCGTCTCCGTCAAAGGTGAGTCCACACCGCATGTGCCCTTAGTTCCCCGTCCGTCCGCGAAGAAACGACAGAGACAGATCGCGGGTCCATGTCGCTGTCCCATCTCGTCTTCATCGCCCGTCCTGACACCGCCCGTCTACCCATCATTGATCCAGTTCACCGATGATCTCTCCGTTTTATACTCCTCCCCTTATTTATTCTTCTGTTCTATTTCGTTCTCCCTCTCTCGCTCTGTCATCACACCCGGGTGCTCTTATCTTAACTGACCACTTGCATAATTTGCATTTGCATATCTTTCGTTGACCTTACTACCACGCGTCTGCTCCACGATGTCGCACCCGTACTCGGGTCATGGCCATGCTCACTATTCATCATCAAAGGGCCCAACTCCCTCAGCGGCTCTGACGTCTGCAAATAGGACGTACGACGCAAAGCTCGTGCAGCGCGAAATGCTGCGTCTCGGAACACTAGCAGGTCAACTCCCTGCTGCGGCGTTCAACACTATTGCTGGCACTACTGCTGCAGCGCTTAACTCTGCTAGTACACTTGTACTGCCATCAGGCGGTGTCGCACCCCCGGGCGCCGCTGGTTCAACACACGGACACGGACATACACTTGGTCATGCACTTGGACATGGTCATGGTGGGACTTCTAATATGGGGATTGCGATGGGCGGAAGTGATGCGTGGGCTCAGTTACATGTCCATGTTCTTCCTTTATTTAATCATGAGCAACTACAGTTTCCAATGTACGTCATACGCTGTTCCTCATGCTTTTGATACTAAAGTCTACCTTGCAGAGAAGATCTTAACTTACTCGTCCGACGACATATCGAAGCAGTAACATCCGCCGGACCAGCTCGCGCACTCTCAACGCTCGAAGTAGACATAGCCGAACTGATCGGCGCCGGTATGACAACCCTCAACACCAAGCTCTCAGGCGTCGACGACGACAAACTCCCCGCACGGGTCGTCGAGCTCTGGACCTTCTTCTGGGACCAAGTCCTCCCATACGTCGAGGGTGTATTCATTCCCCTCCAAACACACCCTTTACTTCTCGCGCTCCATCGCACTCCGAAATCGCATCGTCCTGCAAGTCCGACAACGCTGACAAGTCCTGATGACCCCTCATCCGGAGCTCCTAGTACTACGTTATCCCCTATTGACGTACGAACCATTGCACTCCGTGCGTTCCGAGATAAGATCATTGTACCCGTTGCGTCGCGGCTTGAGACACGACTCATCGCTATGCGACCTGGTTCTTCCTTTTCGTCTTCGACTTCGACGAGTGTAACCGTACCCGGGACGAATATGAATAATAGTACTGCGGAGACGACGACTTATCAGCACCCGAGGTTACAGCAGATGTTGCTTGTTCTGCACTCGCAGGCTCAGAGATCACGTGTTGCGTTGAGTATTAATTGTCCGACACCTCAGCTCTCCCCGCAAGAACTTGTGATTCGGAGATTGTTGGATGCGTTACAGTCGCATCGTGCAGCGCTTTCCGGGACGGGTTCGTCGCTGAATGGGAAGAGTGGTGGTCCGCTGAGCCCACCCCGACATCGCCGCGCACCGAGCTTCCTCTCAGGCGGAGCACCGCGGGACCGACGAGGTCGAGTCGGGATTGGGCTTAACGCCGGTGCAGATTCGGATAAAGAGAACGCGAAAAGACGAGGCAGATACATTGACGATGCGACGTATCCTACACCCGGCCCCTCCGGTTCAGTGAACACCGCATCTTCCTCCTACACTATAGGCGAGAACAGCAGTGGGATTAACAAACACCGATTCGGGAGGTACGTGACCTCCGATTGGGACGAAGATGCAGAATGGGAAATGGGACATAAGGGTACACCTGGATCGGGGAGTTGGGATGGTAGTGGGACTGGAGGAGGGACGACTCCTCGAGGGAGGTTTAGTGCTGAACGCGAACGGGATCGGACTTTCTTAGAATCGTTGAGAAGCCCGAATCCTGTTGATCATGATCAACCTTCGTCATTTACAAGTTTCGTGCAGATTGAGAATGGGAGTGGGTTGAATGGGTTGAATGGAGGAGCGAACGTGGCTCCGGTTGTACCTGGAAGGAGAGAAGATTCGTTACCTGTACCGAGACCTACAGCGAGAGACGATGTTTTCTCTTCTGCACCTCAAACTCATACAGTGAACGGGAACGGACACGGACATACAAACTCTGGTGATAATCATTTAGATTGGGACTCCGCTCAGGTATTTTTCATCTATCTCTTCCATCCCTACCATCCAAATAAATCCACCCATCATCATATTAATATTAAAACACAGGCAGTCGTCGAACGAATGATCGGTCTAAACGCTGGAGCGCGTTCTGAAAGTCCCTCACATGCACACGGTCACCTCCATTCACATACACCCTCTCCCGCTCCCGCTCTTCCTGGTCCTGCACCTCCTCCTCCGTCAGCTGGTCCACCTAGTCTTGTGCATACGCAGGGACCGGGTCAAGGACCAGGACCGCCTCAGGCGGACTCGAGGAGGAGACGTATGACGTAGAAGGTTTGGTTTGGTTCGTAGTTTGCACGGTGCTGCTGAGATGGAGATCTAGTTGGTTGGATTGGCTTGTTTGCTTAGTTTTCACTTCACACGTTTTCATTCGTTTCTTGCTTGAATTCAGAAGGGGTCACGTATGTCGCTCTTTGGCGTCGTAGTCTTGCTGAGTCTCCTCATTTCTCCACCGCGTACTCCATCCTCACCACCCTATCTCAATTTTTTTTTCTGATTGAAATCTCACTCTGAAATCTCACAAGCATATAACGTGTACATACATGCAATAAACTAACTGCTGATTCATTTCTTTACCTTCAACATCAATCCTCTTGTGTGTCTGCTAATAATTCGATCCTCTGCTGTATCCTTTACAAGGACACGGACACATTCATTCACATACAACATTTCCTGCGCCTCCTCTATTGGCCGGTGCAGCATACTCTGGGTCATGCAACAGGGCCGCCTCAAGCAGGCCTGAGGAGACGACATATGAGCACCGATGAGATGAAGATCTACTTGGTTGGATGTCTTGTTCGCTTGATTTTCGTTTTCGTTTTGTCTTGAGAACGGGTCGCGTATGTGTCTCTTCGGCTAAGTTTTGTTATGTCTCCTCATTTCTCCACATTACTCCATCTTTTCTTGACTTTTTTCCCTCGCTTTGTTGACTTGAATCTCTCAACGAAATCTCACATCGCGTACGTATAAATGTCTCAATGTGTACATACATGCGATAATCTAACTGCTTAGCAATTTTTTTCCCTTGAACATTAATTGTATTTGGTCTGTGCTAATAAGTCACTCCTCTGTAATATCCCTTCTTCAAGCACAGGAAACCCAGCAAGACTCACTACAAAATTAATTAATTTCATTTCAATCTAGCCTGCTAGCGAGAAATAGAGTTTTGAGCGTGCACAGCCACATGCGATAGTGACGTCAGTTCATTTCGGATGACCCACACACCGGCCATCGCAAAGCACCTCAATGAAAGTAGCGCTGTGGGTCCTAATTATTGTAGCTAGGGAAAACAGTTTACCTGCAAGGTAAATTTTCTTTCTCCATACAGGCTCTACTAAAGAGCGGTGGAGCTAGAGGTGGGCTATATAAGAGGTGGTGCACGCTGTGTTGGCTTCTTCTCACTCACGACTTCGTTTCACAACTGTACATAGCCTTTCTGCACTTCTCGACTTCTTGTCTTTGTGACTTATCCTCTAACCCTCACAACTTACACGTTACAGGTTACACACTTCATATATTAAACTAAATACATCCATGGTCGTTACGCGTACCGGCTCACACAACCCCTCACACGCAATGGGTCTCCGCTCGGTGCTGAGGAAGTCGGCTACTTCGGAGGGTATGGCGAGGAAGCTCGATGGGTTGGGGTATTATGTGCCTACAGGGCATGAGAGAATTAACAATGTGAAGGAGGGAATGGAAAAGTACGAAGGCGAGGATGAGGAAGAGTTGGAGAAAGAGGAGAATGATGTTGATGATGAGACGTTGCGTAGTAAGTACCAGCAGTAGTTTCTTCTCTCTTCTCAGTTACTTACGTGTCCTTGCTTATTTTATTTATTATTGAAGATACCCACGCGAATGAGCATATAATGCCGAAACGACTCCTCAGACGACGAGCTTCGTCGAAGATGGCTTCTTCGCCTTCGTGCTCGGGAAATACGTGCAGTCCACACAAGCACGTCATGTTCGTCGTATGAAGGCATACGAGAAAGAAGAGCTCTTCACGAAGTACGTTCCTTTCGCAGCCCTCCCTACTTACTACGTATTGCTTTTCGCTAACTTGTTACGCTATGTATTTTAGAACCGAGGACATAAGGCTGTGGTGGTTAGACGGCTTCCCGCACTAATACTCCATGGCAAAGCTTTTTCCTAGGCAGCAAGGATACCCAATATCCGTTTCTCCTCGTGCAATTTCATTCCCCTTTACCCGAGGCTCAATACCATTCGTATACAAGCCTCTTCCCTACACGTAAATTACCTCATAAAATAAACTTACCCTACTCCATCGTATATTCTCATATAGTCATCCATTTCACACACACATAAGTAGTGTTTTGTATACCGTATACCTTTCCTGTAGCCCTGATATACTCCACGTTTGCCCTCGTGATCTATTCGCCAATCAAAACATATCATCTGTCATCTGTGTTGTTTGTGTTGAACGCGTGGTAAACTCTGGTGGGGACGGCGATACAGACGAAAGAGCGTCAGTGACGTAATTGCAGGTCCAACTCATTAAAACATATCTCGATCAGTAGATTATCGTGTTTAATCACACAGCTCATCTTTCGTTTGATTTGCTCCGGAAAGGAAACTGGAAAAGCCTATGTCTTCAGGGAAGAGACACGGCCTTAGTGAACCTGAATGTCGAAACGTTGAAATATACAATAATAGTTTGAGGTATGGCATAGTATGGTATATTAACCTGCATGAATCCCTGAGCCAAACTACGGGTTTCAAGCTCGTGTTTATTTCGTATATAAAAATGAGTAAAGGTGTGCAATTCAAAAACGTAAGGAACGGAAGAACGGGAAGACCAGTCCGTTCGACGCTCCGCTCGAGAATGTTCCCCATTTTACTCCGTAGTCATACCAGTCATGCTTGTACTCATTTTGAGTACACGCGTACCAATGCTTATATGCGCGGCCCTGCGGGGACTTACGGGCCTGCCGGATAGTTTTCTTCTTCTTCTTTGCGCGTGTAAAGTATAAAGATCAGGGAGGAAGGGAATGAGATCGTGTTTGGGCTATACGTCACTTGTACTATCCCAATTTTTTTCATCCTTCCCCCCTACTTGCCCTCTCTCGACTACGCAAGCAAAGTATTTGCTCACTCCGTAGCGAATTCCGAATCAGTATATTAATACTAGCAAGAAACGATGCCACTTTTCCCCTCACGCCGTAACTCAATGAATATTGCGGAGGTACTACAGGTCGTGCATAACCCTCGCACGCCTGAAGCCGCGAAGCAACAGACGCTCCGCCGACTCGACGGCCTCGAAGGTCGACGTGCTCCCATACCGAAGCGACATTCAATGGATCACAATGACCGAGGACGTGAGAACCAGCGGTCAGACGAGCTGGATAAGAGCAGAAGCTCAAGCGCGGGCCCCGGTGAGCGAGGCCGAGTTGCGATGACTGAGGGAGCCTCGCCTCTGCTGAGCCGCAGTACGTATATCTGAGCTCAGATCTATTATATTATTACCCAATAGAGCTGACTACTGGATATTCTGGCTCGTTGTTCCCAGATGGCTCTCCGCCAGTTATCCATTCACGCACAAACACAGAAGGGAGAGGAACTCACAGTGATCCTCCTTCGATGTCTCGTTCACCCTCCGGTGGACGACGACGCGTCACTTTCATGGACGAGTGGGAACTCGCCGGACAAGACGTCATCCTCAATGGTAGGTTCCTATACATAGAGCTTTCCAGAAAACACTGACATGTCTATTCCCCGTGTTTGAATTGCAGAGGAAACGTCGGACCGCGATGCGCTCCGACAAAACTGAGTGCCACCCGGTGCCCGTGCCGATGTATATATTGACGACTTGATGACTGTATGTTGATGACTGAAGGTAGCATTCCTTCATTGTACTCCTGTACTTTTCTGTATTGCTTGTATCCTTTAGCCTAGCCAAGTTATTTAAGCATTGCCTCAGTAAATCCTTGTGGAAGGTGACTGCGCCGCAAGAGGTTAATAAAGCTTATCAGAAATCTCCTAGTCATCAATCAACAGAGCATTTAAGAAAACCAAGAATTTAAGATCTAGTCATCAGTAACATCGTAAAAAATATGAGTCTAATATCCAGCGGCGATCCCATTCTTCCTAGAGTCGCTGGCGGCTATGAGGGAAGAACGAAAATGAAATTAGTAAGTGCTAACGAGAATAGTAATTTGACGAACCAAATATCGTAGCCCCTTTCTTTACTACTGCTTGGACAACGGCAGCGACGCGATTTACGTCAAGAACTGAAAACAATCAGCGCAGTTCAGGTCAATCCAACTATTCACGAGGGTCGTGTAGAAAAGGTACGGACCGGTGACATTATGGCCCCTCTCCCTTAATCCATCAATTGTTTCCGGCGGAAGTACATCGTCCACCTCAACATCCATCGGATATAACTGATCATGTACACGACCCCACTCAATCGCTTGACTAGGATCTAAAGCCCAGTCATCGATCCCTAAGATGACTTGCAGAACCGACGGGAAGATTTTAGTTCCGCCGGAAGCTCCAACAGCGAGGTAGAAAGAACCATCCTCGTGTTCGATTATCGTTGGGACAGTAGACGATAAGGGTCGTTTTCCGGGTTCGGGATAGTTATCTGAAATCAGTGGAGTTAGAACAGCTCAAGCGAGATGAAGTGGAAGTTTCTAACAGGGTGATGGCCAGAGACCGAAAGCGTTTGGTGTACCAGGTGTTGAGAAGTCGTCCATCTTTTGTACGTAATCAGAATTAGAGCTCCACAAAGTGAACGAAGCTAGCTTACTTCGTCATTGAAAAGAATTCCTGTAACGGGATCCATGATCTGGGACCCAAATATCAAGTTGACGGTACTAGTGAGCGCGACGGCCATGCCGTTCTTATCGACAACCGAGGTGTGACTCTAAATTGCTTATCAGCAGCAAGTTCGATAGCATATAGTCATGAAGCTTACCGTGCCATGGTCAATAGGAACATCATAGACAGGGTTATAATAATCAGGGGTGTGAGTCGTGCCCTTTTAACGATGAGTAAGACTTGATAAATGATGAGAGAGATACCCACATCGGTCAGGTTCACAGAAATGAGTTTCCCGAATGACTTCGTTGCAATTTCGTCTATCCGTTTGGTATCGTTTGTGAAGGCCGGATCGCAAAGCTTCGTTCTACGGAGTTTTCAGTCTATGGTCCATGGTATAAACCTGATGCCTCACCTAGCAGCAAAACCGACTGAAATGTAAAGGTAAACCAATCTGGGAAATGAGCAACAGCAAGAATATATGCACATACATTTAATAACTTCCACCAATCGGTGTGTATTCAACCCGTTACGGCCTTCGCCAGCGAGGTCGTATCGTTCAAGTAAATTTAGCATATGAAGTAATACAGGTCCACTCGTCGGCGCGTGAGGCGTGTATACCTTCCGTCCTCTGTACGTGCCAGTCAGAGCAGGTTCGACTTTAACACGGTACCCTTCGAGATCCGCGTGAGTCATGATTCCGCCTGTGGATTGGATAGCAGAAATCATCGCGTCCGCAATTTCGCCCTATTGCGTTCACATGATAAGGTAAGCAAATTTGCTGGTCGACAGAGAAGAAATGAGTAAAACCTTGTAGAAAGCGTCCACGCCTTGTTCAGCGACGGCAGCAAGTGTCCGAGATAAGTTGGTTCGCCTGACGATTTCACCCTCGCGCAGTATTCTACCTTCTGGAGCGAATATAGTAGTCCAAACAGGGTCTTTGAAGATTAGCTCCTCGAACCACTAGAAATAGCCATCAGTCATGGTAAATCCGAAAAGTATTCGAACAATACTTACTGGCAGCCGAATACCAAGCTCTTTCCCAACTTTCCACCCAGCAGCAAGATCTACACTAGGTTGCACAAGTTGAGACCACGGTAAAGAACCCCAGCGCGAATGTGCTTCTGCGAGGCCACGAATTTCCCCGGGTACACCGACCGAGAGACCACCGAACATAGCAGAACTTGGATCCTCAACGAACATGGTCTTGTTTGCCAACGCGGGAGCTGTTTCTCGGAAGTCGATGGTCCATACCTCCGAAGATGCGTTTGGTGAGGTCGAAGGTACGCGCACGGTCATGAAACCTCCTCCGCCGATGCCCGACCTTTTGTAATAATTAAATCATGACAAATAAAATATAGGCATTTCACGCACGAGAATAGATTCACGACGCCAATGCAGAACGTAGTAGCTATTGCTGAATCTACGGCATTTCCACCGCCTTTCAGAACGTCGACGCCAATTTCCGAACATAGTCCATTTTCACTTGCAACTGCTCCATGCCTAGCTTGTATGGGATACGCCGGATTGCGTTGCTTTGTGTCTCCACTTGGTGGAGATGGGGGAGCAGGATACGGGCCAGTCGGATGGTTTACTTGGTCAAGAAGAACCGTAGACAAAAGGATGATGCAGATGAGCAAGACTGCACTCAGAGTAACGAAGAAGACGGTCTTCCATATTGGCACTTCCTGTCGCCGCCTTTGTCGGCGGTGAAGAGGCAAGTAAAGAGCATCTGCTTTGTGGAAATTACTGCCGATAAGCACGCTTTTGCCTATCCGAGAACTAGGGTCGAAGGCGGGTGCGATGGGGCCATCATAGAGGTCTGAAGCCGAGTGCGATCGTCGCAGAAGAGGCTCAGACTCGACGGCTGGCTCAGCGAAGGTGACGCGAGGCATGTCGACGATGGCGAGCTCGTTGCTGAGCTAACTTCATGCCCAGGGTATATTCATATTCTATTGGTGGGAGTACATAAGCCTGAGATAAACATGTTGAATGCACTTGTTCACTCCTATCGCATGTCGGTGCGGAGACCGAGCTTAGGTCACGTGGAATATATGAATCGCGTGGGTAAATGATCCTTTTTTAGCCGTGCAAACGCATAAGTAATTCCCATTCATTACATTTACAATGCTTCATTTACAGCCGTTTGCAAATATAATGAGACTTTCTGATTTTGAGCAAAGTGAAGAAAAGTAAGAAATCACATGATTTTTTGAACTTAGCGAGGAAAATAGCAAGCACGAGACAGAGTGAATGAGATGCGTCGTGCCAGCGTCTGTGCATACAGTCTACCTCCTGCTACCTGTCCCTAACTTTTCAACCTGTCTATTACTATTCTATATTACTATAATGTCTTACTTCTATCAAAGTCGCTTCTCCTCTGCTGCTATTGTGCCGAGCAGTTGTTGGGCGAATGACATTGTCTGTTTCTTCCCAGAGTTTGTGAATGTGAAAAAAAGTAGCCCGAGAGAATCTCACACAGTTTAGAATGCTGTCCAAGCTTAGAATATTGAGGTCATACAGTCTTAGACAGCAGATTTTGAGGTCTCTACTGATGCGGTGGTTACCCATGATTGTAGCAGCTCAAAATATATGCATAGATGCTGGCACGACGCGTCTCATTCGCTATCTTGTGCCCACGAATTTCCTCTAAGTCTAAAAAATCATGTGATTTCTTACATTACATCATGTCGCTCAAAATCGAAAAGTCTCATTATTTATGCAAACGGGTGTAATGGCTGCATCTGTTCGATCACTGCCCGCAGATTCCGGCGTGGATGAACTGCCAAACCCTGTTCTCTTTCAACCACCATGCTCGCGCTGCTCGCAGTCGGCCTACTTTCTGTTTACCTTCTAAACCGGGCGTACATCGTTATTCAGGGTCAACTGGTAATGCATACTGTACCATTCTCATCAAGTTCGCATAAAAGTTATATTGGATTCTTAGAGTCATGACAAGTGTCTTCCGCGGCTTGTAACCACAATTCAGCCAATGTCGGCTTTGGGTGCTCTGCTCCCCAGGTCCGCATTTCACCGCGGGCTTGGCTTCCCGTGGTGGGAGAGGAACACATGTACGCTGCCCTTGATGTGCTGCTTCTTGCTTGGGCCTGGAATGAACACGGTGAATAGTGTACAAGAATGCAAATTTGAAGGCAGTCACTGTAATACCATTCTTCTATGGGCGGGATATACTTTATACCTCAAGCCTGTCGGTCTTTCATCAATGTCTGGCATTCAACTCGCCTTTCAAGAAACCCGACATGGGAGTGCTAGAGTAGGCTGTTGTCTCGTCTTTTCGCTTCGCTTCGTTCTTACGATCGATAATTTCCAGAATTATGGGTGACAATGTTGTCACAACGGAAGGTGAGGCGTGGAAGAAACACAGACGCATCACTGGACCGGCTTTCAACCACGCTACGTATCGGAACGTATGGGAAACGGTTGCAAGGGTCTATGAAGACATGCTGAATCAAGAAGGCTGGAGACATGTCGATGAGACTCCTGCTGCAAACTTTAACCAAGTTACGCACAAGGTAAATTGCGTTAAACGCTGATCACTGCAGAATAACGATTCACACAACCCTCATTTTTAATAAACGTTCTGTTTTTTTTGTAGCTTGCACTCTTCCTCATTGCGATCGTGGGCTTCAACATACCCATGTCCTGGTATGAACCTCCACGCGACGAGAATGGACGTCTCTCCGTACAGGCCATGGTCTTCGAGGTTGCGTCCTACATACTTCATCGCAGTCAACTTCCCAAATGGTCGTATTCTCTTGGTTTCAAAAAATTGAAGGAAATTGATGAGGCATATACTGTATTCGAGCGCTTCATGTATGAACGTATCGGTGAACGTGAGGCTCAACTGAAAAAGATACGAGCGATGGAGGGAAGTACAGACGAAGATATTGCAGATAACATCAAAGATGTTTTCGGCAGACTTGTTAATGCACGTCTTGCGGATGGCAAATACGCTTTATCTGATGAAGAAATTATTGGAAATTGCTTTGTTTTCGTGAGTTTAATAGCCATAATGGTTGAAAGCTCATAATCGAGAGTCTAATTTTTGCTTAGACTTTCGCAGGTCATGGTACGAACTAATTTACAAGCACTTAAAAAGATGTTGACATCTACTGCAGAAACAACTGCAAACACGCTTGTAATGACGCTATCCCTCCTTGCTTTGCATCCCGACAAGCAGGACTGGGTTTATAGCTCAATTAAAGCCGTCATTGGTGATAGGACACCGGTGAGTACATCAGAAATTTTGTCTAGAAGGTCATACATTAATTTTGCTAGACGTTTGATGATTACGATGAACTGAGTGCTGTGCTTGGGTGCTTCTTTGAAGGACTGCGGATGTACCGTAAGTAATCCTTTTGATACGTCTCTTTATATCTGACTAACTGTTCTGCATTGTAGCTGCTGCATACATGTTGGCGAGGGTAGCTTCTCGAGACTGTACACTTTCACTGCCCCGTAGGGATAATCCAGATGTTGTGGAACAGATATTCGTCAAGAAAGGGACCCCAGTTAATCTTGACCTGATAGGGATGCGTATGTCGCCCATAATTTGTCGTTAACGATAATACTAATTTCTTCTCCCTGAACGTCCAGTCTACGACCCTCAGACTTTCCCAGACCCAGAACAGTTCAAGCCAGAACGATGGGTTAAATCCGGAAAACCCACTTCCGCATCCTCGATAACGAAAGATACAGATGCCGGTGAAGTATCCGGTTCTGCACCAGCAAGTACACTCGACGGTTTCGTTGGGTTCTCTTTCGGCCCACGTACCTGCCTCGGACACAAGTTCGCGAAAGTTGAAGGAGTTGCGTTCCTCACATTATTACTCTGCGAATGGCGTGTCGAACTTGCTTTGAAGGATGGAGAGACGAAGGAGATGTGGAAGGAGAGGGTAATGAATCCTTCGTTAGCGATGACGTTGACCGTTGGTGAAGTACCTTTGAAGCTCGTAAGGAGGAAGTAAGGAAATGATCTTTGGACGTTGTATAGCTTATATTCTTTTGGTGGAGTATATAAGCCGATATAAACATGGTGAGATAAATGCACTTACTCACTCCTATTACGTGTCGGCGCCGGGACCGGACTTCCCTGCGCTTGGATCACGTGGATGAGAATCCCGTGCCGGGAAAATATCCGTTTTTAGCGACATCATAATCTTCATTATCCCACTTCTCTTCGTTTAATGGCTGGAGCCGTTCTATATAACTACCCGCAGATTCTGGCGCAAATAGGCTGCCAACCACTCTTCTCTTTCAATCGCCATGCTTGTGCTGCTCGCAGTCGGCCTACTTTCTGTTTACGTGCTGAATCGAGCATACATCGTTATTCGGGGTCAACTGGTAATGCATACTATACCTTTCTCATTGTTTTCGTCGAAGAGTTACACTGGACTCTTAGAATCATGACAAACGAATTCCGCGCCTTTTGACCACGATTCAACCAATGTCGCCTTTGGGTGCCTTGCTCCCCAAGTCCCCGTTTCACCGTGGGCTCGGCTTCCCATGGTGGGAGAGGAACACAAGTACGCCTACTTCGATGAACTTGCTCATGTTTGGAATGAACATGATAAATTAGTGTACAAGGATACAGACCTGAAGACGGTCGTCGTAATACCTTTCTTCTATGGCCGGGATGTACTTTATACCTCGAGCCTGTCGGTCTTTCATCAATGTCTGGCGCTAAACTCGCCTTTCGGAAAGGGTGACTTGGGAGCCATAAAGTGAGCCGCTTTCCCATATTTACATTTTGATTTCCTCCTATCTCTAATAACCTTTAGAATGATGGGCGATAATGTCGTCACAACAGAAGGTGATGCATGGAGGAAACATAGACGCATTACTGGACCAGCCTTCAATCACGCCACCTATAGAAACGTATGGGAAACGGTTGCAAGAGTGTACGATGACATGCTGAACCAAGAAGGCTGGAAGCACGTCGATGAGACACCACCCGCAAACTTTAATCAAGTTACGCACAAAGTAAGACTGCGTTGAATGCTGAATAATACACGATAATCAATACATCGTACACTCATGTTCTCATCTTTTGCAGCTTGCGCTCTTTCTCATTGCGATCGTGGGCTTTAATATACCCATGTCCTGGAATGAACCTCCACGCGACGAGAACGGACGCCTGTCCGTACAGTCTATGATTTTCGAGGTCGCTGCATATATTCTTCATCGCGGTCAGCTTCCCAAGTGGACGTACTCTTTGGGATTTCAAAAGCTGAAGGACATTGACGAGGCTTATACCACGTTTGAGCACTTCATGCACGAGCGTATCTTGGAACGTGAGGCCCAGCTGAAGAAGATACGTGCAATGGAAGGAAGTACAGACGCAGATATTGCGGATAGCATCAAAGACGTTTTCGGCCGTCTTGTGAATGCACGTCTTGCTGATGGGAAATATGCCTTAACTGATGAAGAAATCATCGGTAACTGCTTCATTTTCGTGAGTTCTATGGCTACAACAGTCGAAGTCTCTTACTCAAGTTGCCATCCTTTGTTTAGACTTTCGCAGGTCATGGTATGGAACTAGTTTACAAGTATTTTAAAAGTGCTTACGTCTACTCTAGAGACAACCGCAAACACGCTTGGAATGACACTATCCCTCCTTGCTTTGCATCCCGACAAACAGGAATGGGTCTATAACTCAATCAAAGATGTCGTTGGTGATAGGACACCCGTGAGTGTATTGCAATTTTCGACCGGAAGGGCAAACACCGATTTTACTAGACATTTGATGATTATGATGCGCTGATTGCTGTACTCGGATGCTTCTTTGAGGGGATGCGGATATACCGTAAGTATTTCTTCTAATGGGTCTTCTTCTTCCGCCTGACTAACTGATCTGGGTTGTAGCTGCTGCATTCATGATTCCAAGGGTTGCTTACCAAGACTGTACACTTTCATTGCCCCGTAGGGACAATCCAAATGTTGTGGAACATATATTCCTCAAAAAAGGGACCCCAGTTAACCTGGACCTGATAGGGATGCGTATGTTGCAGAAATAATGTTCCTTGCAAGCGAGAATTCTGATTTTATATCACCAAATTTCTAGTCTACGACCCCCAAACTTTCCCAGATCCAGAAGAGTTCAAACCAGAGCGATGGGTCAAATCTGGAAAATTTACATCCGCTTCCTCGATAACGAAAGATACAGATGCTGGTGAGGTATCTGGGTCTGCACCAGCAAGTACACTCGATGGTTTCTTTGGGTTCTCCTTCGGTCCACGGACCTGTCTCGGACACAAATTCGCAAAAGTCGAAGGAGTTGCGTTCCTCACACTATTACTCCATGAGTGGCGTATTGTACCCGCTTTGAGGGATGGGGAGACGAAGGAGATGTGGAAGGAGAGGGTTATGAACCCAACATTAGGGATGACGTTGAATGTTGCTGAAGTACCCTTGAAGCTTGTGAGAAGGAAATGATCTTTGGGCGCTCTTGTATCTGTAATGTGGATCTGTACGCCAATTGAATATTTCTTTTGACTATGTTGTTCCAAAATGGTTATACGTCGTGCAATTCGATGTGAATAGGTGCACTTGTTTATTAAGTGCATTAATTCTTGCCTGCACGCAATTTTGTCAACAACTCGTTCCTGGTCTGTATGTCATATGACAAGCGGTTTTCTTAGATTTATCTGCTTTAATGTATAATAGAATAATTCCCTCCTCATTTTATTTGCAAATCTGAGTGGTATGCACTATGGTACCTCAATCGTGTAGTGTCTTGATGCATGCGACAACTCGAGACGGATCACGTGAAATAAATACTTATTTATGTGGGGTTTACAATCCTATTTCTGGTGTGTCGAAGTTACTTACAGCCGTTTGCAAATATAATGAGACTTTCTGATTTTGAGCAAAGTGAAGAAAAGTAAGAAATCACATGATTTTTTGAACTTAGCGAGGAAAATAGCAAGCACAAGACAGAGTGAATGAGATGCGTCGTGCCAGCGTCTGTGCATACAGTCTACCTCCTGCTACCTGTCCCTAACTTTTCAACCTGTCTATTACTATTCTATATTACTATAATGTCTTACTTCTATCAAAGTCGCTTCTCCTCTGCTGCTATTGTGCTGAGCAGTTGTTGGGCGAATGACATTGCCTGTTTCTTCCCAGAGTTTGTGAATGCAAAAAAAAGTAGCCTGAGAGAATCTCACACAGTTTAGAATGTTGTCCAAGCTTAGAATATTGAGGTCATACAGTCTTAGACAGCAGATTTTGAGGTCTCTACTGATGCGGTGGTTACCCATGATTGTAGCAGCTCAAAATATATGTATAGACGCTGGCACGATGCATCTCATTTGCTATCTTGTGCCCACGAATTTCCTCTAAGTCTAAAAAATCATGTGATTTCTTACATTACATCATGTCGCTCAAAATCGAAAAGTCTCATTATTTATGCAAACGGGTGTAAGTTCGCATTGATTCGTCTGATTAACACCACACCGGCGCTGATGGCCACTAAGTCCTCCTCTTTCAACTACCATGCTTGTGCTGCTCGGTATCGGGCTGCTTTCTGTTTACGTGGTGAACCTGGTATATATCTTCATCCGAAGACAACAGGTAAGTGCACGATGTAGTTTCTCATTGCTTTCTTACGATACTTAGCCTGAACCCTCAGAGTCACGACAAACGCCTTCCGCGGATAATAACCATGATCGAACCAGTGTCCCCTCTGGGTGCCCTGCTCCCCAGGTCCCGGTTTCACCGAGGGATCGGCTTCCCATGGTGGGAAAGGACCTCGCGTGCGTACGCGTACTTTTAGGATCTCATACCTGCCTTGAATGAACACTCTATATAGTGTACAAGGATGCAAATTTGAAGACGATCGCTGTGATACCTCTCTTCTATGGCCAGGATATGCTTTATTCCTCGAACATTTCAGTTTTTCATCAGTGTCTAGCATTAAACACGCCTTTCGGCAAGCCCGATATGCGAATACTAGAGTTAGCCATTGTCTTCTATTCTCGCTTTGCCTATCCTTACCTTATGATCACTTTTCTCAGGTTCATGGGCGATAATGTGATCACAACCTCAGGTGAAGCGTGGAAGAGACACAGGCGCATTACTGGACCGGTTTTCAATCACACCACGTATCGGACAGTATGGGAAACGACTGCAAGCGTGTATGATGACATGTTGAACCAAGAAGGCTGGAAACATGTAGATGAGACTCCTGTCGCAGATTTTAATCAAATTACTCACAAGGTAGGGCAATGCTGGAAAGTGAATAAAGACTAATTCACGCATCTGATTTGATATTATCATTTTCTCGTAGCTCGCACTTTTTCTCATTGCGACTGTGGGATTCAATATACCCATGTCTTGGTACGAGCCTCCGCGTAACGAGGAGGGACGTCTCTTCATACAGTCCATGGTCTTTGAAGTCGCATCAAATATCCTGCTTCGTAGTCAACTTCCCAAATGGTCGTATTCTCTGGGGTTCAAAAGGCTTAGGGACATTGACGAGGCTTATACTACGTTCGAGCACTTCATGCGTGAGCGTATCTTGGAACGTGAAACCGAGCTAAAGGAAATACGCATGATGGGAGGAAGTTCCGATGCAGATATTGCGGATGGCATCAAAGACATTTTCGGACGACTCGTAAATGCACGCCTTGCTGATGGAAAATATGCTTTAACCGATGAGGAGATTATCGGGAATTGCTTCGTTTTCGTGAGTCTATAAACTACGATTATATAACTTAATCTCATACTCGAGGCATCGCTTTCGCTTAGACATTTGCGGGGCATGGTACGACATTAATTTACGAGTTCTTCGTTCTTCATTTGTATTAATACGTACCTCAGAGACAACTGCAAACACGCTCGTCATGGCACTATCTCTCCTTGCTTTGCATCCTGGCAAGCAGGATTGGCTTTACAACTCAATCAAAGCCGCTATTGGTGATAAGAAACCAGTAAGCGAGAGTTAGGCCCTCAGTCCAGTAGAGTACACACCGATTTTGCTTACTAGACGTTTGATGACTATGATACACTGGGTGCTGTGCTCGGATGCTTCTACGAAGCACTTCGGATGTATCGTGCGTCAGTCCTGTAGCGCATCTTCTATCTAATTAACGACTCAAATTGCAGCGGCGGTATACCTGATGGGAAGGGTTGCATCATGCGATTGTGCACTTTCTCTGCCCCGTAAGGATAACCCAAATGTCGTGGAACAAATATTTGTCAAGAAAGGAACTTCGGTAGTTCTGGATTTAGTGGGAATGCGTATGTCTTCGAAGACTTCTCCTCCTTGAATATCACTAACAATAATTCTGATATTGTTCCGCTAAATGCATAGTGTATGACCCTCAGACCTTTCCAGACCCAGAAGAGTTCAAGCCAGAACGATGGGTCAAATCCGGGAAATTCACACCCGTGTCCTCGATTACGAAGGATAGAGATGCCGGCGAGGTATCCGGATCTGCACCCACAAGCTCACTCGACGGTTTCGTTGGATTCTCCTTTGGTCCGCGCACCTGCCTCGGACACAAATTCGCGAAGGTCGAGGGAGTAGCGTTCCTCACGTTATTACTCCGTGAGTGGCGTGTCGAGCCTGTTTTGAGGGACGGCGAAACGAAAGAGATGTGGAAGGAAAGGATAATGACCCCTAGATTGGGGATGACAATGACTGTTGGCGAGATACCGCTGAAGCTCGTTAGGAGGAAGTAATGTTTGCTATATATTTGTCGTGATTTCTGATTGTGTATCTATGAAAGTTTCTTACTGCAAATCTAGGCATAGACCCGATTTATCAAGATCAAGAATGGAACGGGCTTAGCGGATTAACTCTAGAGCGAGCTGCCATACTACGATCAAGCATATGGGCACAGAAGAATTTGTACATACTGTACTCATCCTATTCGGTTCTCCCATCTTTCTCGAGGTACTAACTCTGTATTTCCCTTATCAGCCTGGTCCGTCTTCCCCAGTTCCTTCTGAACAACTAGTGCTGCTACAGACAGTAGCATCAAGTCTCATAGGTAATCGGGTGAACGGAACTCACCTTTTGCAAGGACTACTTAGACGTGCCCGCTGGTATCTTTCTGAGAGCATCCGAACGGGAATTACTGTCGGACAACCCAGCGCCAGCGCTGATCTTTATTCTAACAGTGATATGATCCTGCTCATAACACTGTAAATCTTGTCCAATACGTCATCATACTACCTGTCAAGACTGCTGTTGCACATAGCCCTGCAAATCGACATAAATCTTAAATCTAAATTCTTCGGATCCACACGAAAATCTACACATATGAAATTCAGCGCCACATGCTTTTTTCTGATGAATCACCATGAGGAAGCTAAGACTTATATTAATGTTGAAACCGTTGACGATGCCCAGACCATTGAACATATGGTCTTTTCTTATTTTGAAAAGCATGCATATGTTTGACCTTTACTTGGATACCAGTCAATTTTAAGTATCACAGGCTTGGTATCTTGAATCAAGTACGATTTATATCTAGACAACGAATACATATCGCTAATAGAGTGATTGAGGCATTTTATAACAATATTGATATCAGTACTGCATATCCATATGATATCAATTCCGCTATCCCGGCGTCTCTACGTTAACAGATGCGAATGACAATGCCCTTTGTGCGACCAGTGCAGGGAAGCTCGGGATATAAGTAAGTGAAGAAACCAAGGCATGAACCATTCCTTCCACGCTACATGGACCAGTCTATCGCAATCTGATTATGTCTCGGAAGCAAAATCATATTGTATTGAAATTAAAACATACCATAAATTTGACAAAATTTCCGTCGTCGACGGCATTAAATTTTATTCTTCGGCTTGAGCATTCTTAACCAAAGGAGGGAAGCTTTCAATGTTCCCGCAATGAATTCATATAAGCAACGAACAGTTCATCTGATTGTAACCAAGACTCCCACATCTTAACTTCTCAACATCTCTCATGCCGTTTTCGAGTTTCATCCGGTTACACTAGTGATCAGCGGTTATTTTATTATGGAAGGTGGGTTTACGGTTATCGGGATGACGGAACGGCGGATGCAAAAAGATAAATATGCATATGGTGGACTTATATGCATGCGTGATTCTTTGAGGGTTGCAGAATATTCTCGTCGCAGTTGAATATATCTACTGGAGGGTTCGTTCATTCTTGGCTTCGCGTCCCACTCGTCGGATTCTCGATCATCCCAATCTAGACTCTTTCTCACTGGCTTGAGTGCTGCCTTGTCTTTGGTTGACGGGGTATTGACGGGAGTTGAGCTGGTCTTCCGACTCTTCGATCTCCGCACTTTTTGTTCCAGATATGACGATGTCGAAGGTACGAATCAACATTGAGTTTTCTGTGGGGTATGTGGTCGTTGTTTATGCCGAGTTTGGGAAGGTGTTCGATGATAGCCTGCTGCTTGTACTTCGTCTTCCAAGAGCCACCACATCTGTTGCAGCATCACCGGACCAATTCAAAAATCAATCTTCCGGAGTTCCTCCCGGCTCATTCGGTGTTATCCGTACGTACGATTATGGTTTGTGCAGCTAGAAGGACAAAGATAGTGAGAAGAGTGGAGTGTCAATCGTAGGCCTATCACAGTTGTCCGGTGTCCAGGACTAGTACCCTTTGCCCTGTCTTTCAAGAGCCCAAAAGGAAAGTAACTCACTGTCAATTGGGACTCTATTTATGTCGTTGCTTCGGTGGTGTATTGATGCACATGAAAACGAACAGTTATGAAATCACGTTCATCAATAGATGACGACGTTAAAAGCAGATGTTCTTGACCCGCAAAGGAATAGGATAGGGATGAGCGGGTGCTATTGAGAGGCAACGTTCCCTCTAAGGTACGTCAATCGAGGCGAGACGGTAGTCCGCGTGACTAAAACCGAAAGAAACACAAAGGAGACAAGCATGGAGGAAGACATTGCACCCGAAATGCTTTACTTGTGCATTGACGAGGCACTTTGCATTCCAATGTCATTTCATACTGGCAGGGGGGGATCAACTTCTACCCGAGTGGCCAGGGAACTGTCGAACGAAAGGGAATGTTAAAAGAGTGTCGTTCTCATTTGAAATATGGGAAGGGAAGAAAGAAGCTAGAAGAGCCGATATGCGGTAGGGCAGACATCCCGGTGATGCAGGATGAAACGCTGCACAGGTGATTGACGCGAGACCTCATGGTCCTGTCTGATGCTTCGCACGTGGTGCAGATCCTTCATGCCGTGCTCGGCCGATCTCTTTGTGTTCTTCCGTTCTCTCCAGATTGTTTCCCCTCCGGTATCAACTTTTCTCACAAATAGAAGGAGCGAAGAATGCACAAGAAAGGTCCGTGCCTAGTGAACAAGTGTGATGAGAGGAGACGAAAAAGCATGCGCGAAGGCGGCCGAGAAAAGCAACTGATAGTGGGTTTTGATACGTTTTTTGCTCATGTGAGCCAGGTGGTTTTTTGTGATATAAACAAAAAGAGGGAAAGACTCATAAAACGGAAATAGAATGAACGAGCGCCGCCGATCTTTCCGGGCACCAATCAATTTTTGGCGCTGGCCCTTATTTGAGATTCATCCACCCTTTCCGAGTGGTTGAACTCTCGGAAGAGATTCGATGTGGAACGTTCCGCACCCTCGGACTGAATGGACGCAACATATGGATGATTGTGTCATGCGTGCATATATCGAAGACTGATACTCCCACACCTTCGGCGTTGTCAATCGTCCAGATCCCTACTTCGCCCTTCTTCGCTAGGATGTGAACTTCCTGCGGCACAGAATTTTTTATATCTACCGAAATAAATGCATGCTCCGCGCGCGCTTGAAGCGGTTTGGACGTTCGCCCCCTCTCCACCTGTAGTTCTGTCCTCTGTCCTTCCTGTTAGTCCCGTCTGCTCCTCTCTGCACCTTTATTTGACGCAGAGCAGCGACAAGAAGCGTCGAGCTCCGACTCGGACAAGGAGCAGGAAAGACCATGGATCGCGAAATGGACCAGGTTGAGCACTCGAGAGTGAGCAGTGGGATTCTGTATGAAGACTCAGCACCTCTTGCAGGTACGGCCTACCTTCTCATCTAAATCCCTTTATTTTTATTGGAGGCACACGTCGCGTTGTGCGGGAGCTAAATTGGCCCCGCCGTTAGCGCGAATCCCCCGACAACGATCGACGCGGGTGCGCCAAGGGGCGGGGAAAGCAAAGTAGAGGCAATCTACCCCGCGCATACTTTATTTCCCCGCATTTCTTTCATCTTTCCCATCTTCATCTTTTATCAACGGCGTTCGACTCATGTGCTTCGTCGTCGCCGGCTATGTTATTGAAAAACCCGCGAAAAAGATAATCGAGGCGCTGACATGTGTTTTTCTTCCGAACCCGGCTATTCCTGTACTATTTTGGTCTACACCCGGATTTACTCGCATGATTTGGCCGGGTTGAACAGAGAACGCTGCTCCGCCTGGACTCACGCCGGAGCCACAAGCGGATGCCAGCCGATTTCAAGAGGGTCCCTTCAGCGATGAACATGCGGTGCCGCAAGATACCGCCGCAGAAGGGGCAGCCGGTGCTGCGGCTGGGACAACTACAGCAGCGGCTGCAGCGACTGCAACTGAGCAAAAGAAGGTGCCGTTTTACAAGGTCCCTGGTTGGTGGAAAACGCGAAATGCCCTTATTGTGTGGGCTGTCCTTGGCGCGCTCGGGATTGCATTGCTCTTCATTATCTTGTTTCCCGTCATAAAGGCCATTGCGCAGCTTGTCGTCAATAGATCGATCCTCAATGTTGATACTGCAGCGATTTCGAATCCGTCAAATTCTACGTGAGTGAATAGAGTCTTCTATACCAAGTCTGGAGTCATTTAATCTGTGTACTCTAGTTTTAACCTTACAATGCAAGGCATTGTCAGTAAATTATGCGTCCTTGAAATTCGAGAGCGACTGACAATTTTGCCCAGGTTTCACATGCCGGTATCTTCAGCGCGAAGATCACATTTACTCGGCCTATTAATGTATGTTGTTGGCGCCTTGTTTGACTACTTGCAGAATTCAATATGTCTATGCAGGTAACCTGGTTAATTAATGACACGGAGATTGCGCTGGGCACTATGTCACTTCAACCTATCTTCGCCAAGCACAAAAGGGCAACAATCGACCAGACGACGGCCTTCACGATTGTCGACGAAGCCGCGTTCGGAACATTCACTGAGACGATGATTACCCAACCTAATTTTACGTGGCGCCTCCATAGCACTGGCCTGCGCGTGAACGCTCTCAAGTTCCCTGTCGCAAAGGGTATCAACTTCGATAAGAAGCTGACATTAAATGGTATCAATAATTTTGACGGAAATGTCGTGTTGAAGCAGTTCCAGCTGCCGAGCGATGCAGAAAGGGGAGGTATCAACTTCAGCGCCACGACGGAGTTAAACAACACGAGGTGCGTTCAACACGTTACCATAATTCGTTCGTTGGAGAACGATCCTAACTTGGTGTGGCAGTCCTTTCAAAGTGGACTTGGGTACCGTTGTATTTGACTTGACGTATAATAACACCTTCCTGGGCTCCGGTACTGGCTTGAACAGTGCAATAGTGAGTATAATACCTTCCAGAATCTACCTGTATTCTGATCCGTCACAGCAACCCGGTCCAAATGACATCACCCTCAACGGCGTCCTCGTAAAACAAAACACGAGTGATGCTCTAGCTTCGCTCTCGTCATTGTTTACTGCATACCTTAATGGAGACAGTTCGCCAGTCATAGCAATTGGCCGGTCAGCAGCACAACCGGACGGAACGATCATTTCATGGCTCAGCGATGGAATCAAGGCGCTAAGATTGAACGTACCATTCAAGAACCCAGACAGCAACGGTCCTCTCGGCCCAATCAAGAGCATTACGATTGGGGACATGGCGTTGGCATTCAATCAGGATACACCGTGGGCACCGGTAGCGAATACGGAAACGGTCTCGGCGTTTATGCGTAAGTCTTATGTTTTATGTTTTATGCTTCTCGAAAGACTGAAGTTTACTTGATACAGAGCTGCCATTTGGGTTCGGAGTCTCCATCGGCGAGATCATGAACAGCTTTAATATCTCTCAGAATGGAAGTTCCATTGCGGGATTGTCAACGCCACTCGGTTCGTCAACGTCAAACATAAGGGTACTGAACTCGACAGACACAGAGGGTACGATCAACATTACGATTGATAACATAGCTCTGTCTGTTCCGGACATCCAGCATACCTTATTTTCGCAGTTCAGTCAGTACTTTTTTGCCTTTCATGATGAGGTTTAGTCCTAATAGTAGGTGGAAACTGACTTGTGCTTGATGTTTTGTGACGTCACCAGACACGGATTTGACGCAGCTCACGTGAGTGATGTCACGTCGCGTTCTGTTACGTCTGCTGATCCTTTCGGTTTAGGCGCTCAGCATTCCAGCTTGTCGGGCAATCGCGTGCCATTGCAAATCTGAGCCTTGGACAGGTTACACTTGACCCAATAAAGTTCAATGTCACGAGTGGTCTTGACGGATTGCGAGGTCTTCAGGGAGACACGACAATTACTGGCGTTGACGTCCTTGGTGGAACCACCGACGGAATTACGCTGGCTATTAACGTATCTATTTTCAACCCGTCGAACTTGAACCTGAGCACCGGTGACCTGCGTAATTATTGGGCTCTATTTTTTTATTAATTGATCTAGATGCTAATTGAGATGATTCGGAATAGGTTTGCAATTGTTCCGGGATGGAGGATTGCTCGGCACGACACTCCTCCCGAACTTGACTCTTGTGATGGGGAATAACTCTCTCGTGTCTACGGGGATCTTTGAGGTGCGTAAAATTGACAACGGAATTAATTTTACTGTACTAATATTGTATTAGGCGAATAATAGTCCGCAAGGTCGACAGACGCTAGATGATTTCGTCGGTGGAACAGGTGAATTTAAATAGCATTGTTGATCTATGACACAATTGACTGAGTCGTACCCGCGTAGATGTCAATGTTCAGATCGGCGGATACAGTGGAAGCACGAATATCTCTTCGCTATCCCAGGCGTTTGGTTCGCTCTCTCTTGGGGCTACTCTTCCCGGTCTGAAATCCCAGCTATTATCTTCGACGTCACTCGAAGGTTGGATTTAACCCTTCCAAGCCTCCACTTTTCCTGACGTCGTTTTCTAGTACTATCGACGACGGGTTGGGTTAATAACACTGCGCACGTCACTGTCAATCTTGACAATCCATTCAGTGCAGGGCTACAAATCACACAGATCACGTCCTCCGTGAGCTCACACGGTGTTCCTCTGGGTACGATTAACCAGAATGTGGCATTCTCTGCGAATGGAAAGTCAACAACAACGAGTCCGACAATCGACCTTCAGATGAACCTTGATCCACCGGCGATCTTCTCGCTGACACGCAGACTTGCTGTTATGGCTGGGCTCGGCACGGACCAGTTGGATGGCATTGTTGCACTTGGAGGTTACAACTATATTACCACGACAGATGAGGACAGCGGAACTGGTAGTGGAAGCAACTCGAGTGCGACGAAACGTGATACAAACATTTTTACGAACTTCAACCTTCCCGACTTCGTTGATACGGCCTTCAAGCAGTTGAGATCGACCGTACAGCTCACTTCAGCCGTAACAATAGGTGATCTTTTTCTCTTCCAAAGAAGCGAAGGAAATCGTGACAAACTTGTTTTCAGGTGACTATAACACAGAGCTCGACTACAATCAGACAGATGTCCCCGTGAAGACCGATGAGAGTCTGAATATGCTACTACCCTTCCTGGCTCAACCGATAGTACAGAAGATTGTGGATGGCTCACTGCTTGGGTGATTATTGTCATTTCTTTTTGACAAACATTCGTGTCTCTAACATTAGCATACGCAGTATTTCGGCCGTGACGATCACAAATCCGCAGCAAACGTCTTTCGGTATGCGAAGTTTTGACGTTTAAAAACTCGCACCTAACTCAGTCATTCCAGGGACGAAGCTCAATGGAAATATCACGAATGCTGGACCCTGTAAGTGTTTAGAGCCCTTGCTTATACCGATCTCATGGCTAACGATTGATTCAGTCGATGCGAAGATCTCCTTCGGATCCGGTTTGACCATAAGCTGGTCCGGAAAGCCCTTAGGCACGCTAAAGATGCCAGATGTCAATCTCGCTGCAGATGAGGGCGCCCAACTTGACCTTACAGCAGACTTCACAGTCGCCGATGTCGACCATCTAACCGACTTTACAAAGGTATTGGTGACAGAAGAGAGCTTCCAGTGGGACATCTCGGGCGAGAACCTTACCATCTCGGCCCTCGGTAAGCGAGTTCATCTTATTAGTTCTTGGCTTGTGCAATTGACGCAAAGGATAAGGTATCGATGTACCTGGTATCAATTTGACGACCAAATCGGTGTCTCTTCTCGGGATGAATGGGCTGAAGGGCGGTGTTAAAATCAACTCGTTCGACCTACCTTCCAATGATCCTGCCGGAGGTATCCATTTGACATTGAACACAACAGTGCAGAACGTAAGCACTTCTGCTGTTGAAAGAAGCTCGACATATACTGACTATGGTTTGCGTTGAATTGAATAGCCTGCGCAAGTCGGAATCGAGCTCAGCTCGATTGGCTTCCGAAACTTCTTCCAGTCCACATTCATCGGTCCCGCCGCTGCGCAGAGCGAATTTACTCTCGCACCCCAGTCAAGCACTGATCTACCTCTGGTCGGACGCCTCGTGCCACAGAACGGATCAGCGACCGGTCTGTCAGACGTATCGACCATGTTCAATCGGTTCATCCATGGTGAGGACAGTACCGTCACAGTTGTTGGAGACAGCGCTGGACCTAGCGACGTTACTTGGTTGAACGAGGGTATTAAGAGTTTGCAAATTGAGACTAGTTTGCCTAATCAAGGTAAACTGGATATCATCAAAGCGGTTACGATCAACCAGATGGAACTGTTGTTCTCGGTGAATGATGCTTACGATCCACCATCAAGCAGTAACGACACGACTGCAGCATTTACTCTTCCATTCGCATTTCCGGTCGATATCGTTGCCGTTGAACAGAATATCACGACAGGATTCCAAGGCCAATCGTTTGCGGAGCTCATTATCCCGAAGGGCCCGAGTACAACAGATGTTGAGCAGCGAATTATCCATTTGACCTTCAGTAATATTCCATTTGCTGTATTCGGTGACAAGCACGATGTGTTCCAGCAGTTCCTTGCTGCGACGACAACAAGCGCGACGCAGACTTTTTCCCTTGGAGGTATAGCAAACACGGATGCGCAAACTGCGGTTGGGTTGCTTTCGCTGACGGATATCGAGTTCGACGTCGACACGTCCATTGCGGGCCTTCAAGGCTTGAACACGAAGCCTGCGACAGTTTCTAATCTGGACGTGAATCATGGATTCCCTGATTTCTTGTTGATTAAGGTGTCTACTCAACTATTCAACCCGAGGTTAGTCCTGGATTGTTCTGGGTTTCTTGACAGCGATTTAATGCCATTTCCCAGCAACCTGACAATTGGTACTGGAGATGTCAGCTTCGGGCTCCAATTTGAGTGAGTCATTCTATATCTGAATATTTCCATTGTTAATTGACCTGCGCTAAGGAACGAGGATATCGGAAGCGCCATCGTTGTGAGTCTTTCACGTTTAAAGTCTTAGCCTCTCAATGACTAAAAAATTACACAGAGCGACATGATTATAATCCCGGGCAGCGCGAACTACTCAACCGGTTGGTATCTAAGTTCGAATTCAAAGTATTTTCTGCTAAGTGCCATACAGATGTCCACTATCAGCCGCAAGGTGGCGCCGTCGCAGCCGGCCAACAAATGCTTGAGAATTTCTTGCAAGGGATTGATTCCGACACGACTATCGTTGGGTCCACAGATACAACGCCGATCGACTCTCTTAAACTCGCTTTGTCTGAGATCAAGCTCAGCCCGGTCGTCATTCCGGCACTACACCAGAATTTGATTACAAGCGCCTCACTTACATTCCCGACTGACATCGTGCAAACGGGAATTGCGTCGACGTCGTTTACACTGTCGAATCCCTTCACCGCAAGTATCAACATTCTCAAAGTATCTGCGAAGGCGTCGTATCAGGACATTTTCCTCGGATCGATTGATAATACACAGTTGTCATTGCACGCTGATGGGCATAGTAACGTTACTTCGCAGACGTTGCCGTTCCACTTTAACATGAACCCTGTTGATATCATTCACTTACTGGAGCTTCGCTCGCAGCAGACGGGTGTTGACCTTGGTCCATTGCCAGACCTTTTCCAGATCGTCCTTAACAATCCTAACCAGAAAACTGATGTTCGTATCTTGTGGTATAATGGCTACACTCGCTAATAATTTGCTGTATATAGATCACAACAACTGTTGATACCAGCGGGTCCAACTGTACAAGGTATTGTCCATTTTCTTTGGTATTTTTGTTGACGTTGCTGACTGTGTTCAAGTGGAAAGCAATTTGATGTGAATGGTGCTATTCTGAAGGCTCTCAGTGGAATGGGAATCACACTCTCAGTCGATAGTTCAAACAAGCTCGACGATTGTAAGTGCCACCAAGCATTAAGAATACGAGACCATCTAACAGTAGATATTTACAGTCGCAACCGACCTCTCCTTCAATCAGTCAAATGTCCCAGCTCAGGTACACTTATCTTGCCTCAAATCGTACCAGGTTGAGCCACTAATTGGATTGCAGATCGACAACACGGTTTTGTTCTTAATTGGAGATGTCGCTCCCCTGATTGTACAAGCGCTTGTCGACCAAGCTAGCTTGACTTTCAGTCAGGCGAATATCACGTATGTATTCTTATTCCATTTCGCGTGCATATATTTACTTGATGTTGATTTCCAGTAACATTGCGAACGAAGGGTTTGATCTTGGACTCAAGGGCTCATTGACGGGCACTGGTCCTCTCGATGCTGAAATCACTTTCGTTGAGCCAGTAAAGTGCGTATTCTATCAACCCAATAAATAGTTGGATGACTAACTTTTTCCTTCTAGTGTCAATTGGAATGGTCATGACATTGCAACCATTTCGCTTCCGCCGGGTTAGTAGATCGTAATGAGTAAAGCAGCTCGAGTGTACTGAGTAGTTCTTTTCAGTTTGTGCAGCAGCCAATGATGGTGTTCCCGATTACGAGACTAGCGGACATCTGACCATTACCGATCAGGGAGCGTGAGTCCTTCGCCCGTTTATGCGACTGACACGTATACTGAGGGACTTCCAGCTTCACCGAATTCGCAACGTTCCTGCTCCACAACCCATCCTTCACTTGGACGATCTCGACGAACAAGCTTCGTGTTACGGCACTCGGAACAATCTTTGATAATGTCTCTTTGTCGAAGGACGTCACGCTGAAGGCATTTAACAATCTACCTGGTGTGACAATCAGCAACTTCAAGCTGCCAAGCGATGATCCTGCTGGTGGTATTCATATTGAGACAGACTCAAACATTCCTTCTCCTGCTCGTAAGTCATTGTCAGATTGCTTGCTAGTCTGCAACTCACGAGAGTCTTTCAGAACTGGGAATCGACTTGGGCACAGTAACGTTCAATTCATTCTTCAAGAATGTCTTAGTCGGCCCCTTGACAGGGCAGAACTTGGTGCTACCGCCCGAGGCTACAGTTACCGAACACTTGTCGGGAAGAATTGTTCCTCAGTCTGGATCGGACCTTGATACTATTGGAGAACTCTTCTCGAATTTCTTGGCAGGTGAGAACCAGACGCTTAGCGTCACTGGTGACTCTGTGCAGCCCTCGGGAAGTGGAGAGGTTACTTGGTTGAGTACAGCGTTCAAGACGTTGACACTATCTGTGATTCTTCCTGGTCAGAAATTCGATGTGAGTTATTCGATACACGATTACTCGTATGAGCACGATTCTGAGAATTAACCGATGCAGATCATTCAATCTATAACGCTGGAAGACCTCGAAGTAGAGATGATAAGTCAAGATCAAGCCTTCGCACCCCTCACTAGCTCCAAGACAACATTAGCAACGTATAAGAATCCGTTCGGGTTCTCTTTGCAAGTTATCGAGTCAGGAGAGAATATCACTCTGAAAGATTCTGGCGGAACAGGTGTTGCTGCTGTATGTCGATCACGCTTTTATCTCGCGTATTTCATGCTTATCCCAGATATGTCTAGCTCAACCTCCCAAGAGCTCCAGCTAACGGCGGAGTCTCGACTGGCAACGTCGCCGATCTTATCCTCTCGTTCTCAAACCAGACGTTACAATCGCTGAACAACGGCGCCTTCGAATCGTTCTTCGCCGCTGTAACTGACACGTCTTCTGTAAGCTTCAGCCTGGTGGGTACAGCAAACGTAATTGCGAAGACTTCAATAGGGAATGTTCCTATTGATGGCATACCGTTCGATGTTACTTCAAACCTGAAAGGCATTGACTCGTTCGGAGGCACAGCAAGCCTGAGCAACGTCAGCATTACTGGAAGTGGCGGAAATGGTGGGAACCAGTTTATTGTATCGCCGCTGACAACTACTCTGGACAATCCATCTAATATCTCACTGTCAACCAATGATATCGCCCTTCCTGTGATATTTAAGGGTGTCAAGGTAAGAAAACTTCAAAGAATTTCATTTCATAAAGGTTTATTGACTTTTGTTGCAATAGATCGGTCGTGCTGCCATTAATGTAAGTCCTCATTTGCGATTTACTATTCACGTATGAGCATTAAATAGTATCCAAACAGCCATTCAATTTGGTTCCAGGTCAGAACACAATCGCAACTGAGTTCCACTACGAGCCAGATAACGCGAACGACACGACAGCTCAGGTGAGATATTTCCAATGCTTCGTTGCTGAATTCTTATGCCCGGGTTACAGGGTTTCGTATCTGAATTCGTAACCACTGGCGATACCCTTGACCTCACGATTCAAGGTGATGGAGACAGTTCGCCGTATGCGTCGTTGGACCAGGCTCTCGAGGGTGTTAAGATTGGGACAAGCCTACAGGGTTTGAACCACCCTACCCTCATTACCCACATCAACGTCTTTATTACACTCGACACGCTCGTAACGTAAGTATCACTATAGTAAAGCGTCACATGCATTCTGAGTCTCTCCGCAGGAACATGGTATCAATCAACTTCGATGTCGCAAATCCACTTGATGCAGACTTCAACATTAAATTTGTCCAGTCCGACGGCGGAGTGAACGGCGAGACTTTCGCTCACTTCGATCAACCCTTTGACAACTTCGTTGTCCCGGCACATGGCACCGCAAACAGCGGGACATTCGGCAACGTTCTTCTCGTCAAGGGAGCACTAGCGTCTCTCGGCATCATCCCACTTGGTCGACTCGATATCCAAGCAGCACAGACAGTGCAGATTGACGTTGGTGGATATGAGTTGCCATGGATGAAGATTAGCCAGCCGAACGTGCCGACGACGTATAGCTTGGCGTTGTCAATCTCGGAGATGCGTTCAGCATTGAGCAGTATGAGCGCGTCGAGTGCTGGGCTCACTGGGACTGCTGTGTCTGCATTGAGCTCTGTGGCGAGTCAATTATCGAGTGGTGTGTCAGGTGGAGTATCGTCAGTGAGCAGCAAGGTGTCATCTGCTGTATCATCCGTGTCAAGTGAGGCTTCTTCTGCTGTCGCTTCGTTGACATCGCAAGCTGGCGGTGTTGTCGGCGATGCAACGTCAGTCCTTGGCGGCCTTGTACCAACACGCACATCAGTAAGCATTTGTACTTTGTTCCTGATTCTCCCCCTTTACTGAACTCCGATTCTTACCAGGCATAATGTACTTCTCCATGAAACCATAGTGACCTATCATGCTTAAAACGCTTCTCACATGTATTTGTGACGGTTTCTCGTTTCAATACGACATGGATTAATGATATTTTGTAACATTACTGCATCGTCACTTTTTCTTTTATCATTTTCTTGGTCTGTTTTCTTCTCCAGTTTTGCACATGTTTTCTTCGCAGAGGACAATCGCTGTTTTCATACGTGTGGTTTACTGACAAGTTATTCGCCTTCGTTATTATGATTTTCATACCACTTACATTATTGTTTGTCTTGTTGTCTTACTATTTTTCTTACGGACACATTTCACGTTTTATTTTTCGTATACGACAATTAATGAGGCGTGTACCCGGACGTTTGGTAGCGCTAATTATCGTCTTGGACTTCCACGTTGTCAGACAACGTGTTCTTTTGTCTCGAACGCCACGAATGAATAAAATCGATTCAATAACTATTCGCCTCATGAATTCCAGTCGTAGACTCGCCTTTCGTAATTTGTAATAGTAAGCATGAAATGTACGGTACATGAGGCGATTGATTGACACTACAGAAAGCTATGTTACATGTATATGCTGAAACCGATTACAGTAATGACTGTACGATCACATGGTGCAAACACGCCAATTAAAAATTTCATCGCGGGACCGCAGTTTGATGCAGCGGCAATAGACGCGTCCTCAGCAAGCAACGTTTGGATCGATATTTTGCATTGAAGTCGTCCATAGGTGGACTAGGTTCCGCAGGAGTCGGCGCAGGGCCTTCGTCTCCCTGAGCCTCAGATTTCGCCGTGATGAGTGTTTCAGTGACAGGCGTACTTCTGTTCGTATTAGAGCTCGCTGCTGTTTCTTCACTACCGCTCTCACTGGTCCTCCGGCGACGCGATTGCCGAGTCGTGCGCGTCGGAGTCGGTTCTTTTATCTTGATCTTGTTGCTTGATGTGTTGCGAGTGCGCTTTGGCCGGGTTTGACGTTTACCGGACTTCGTACCAGCTAAATTCCACAATGCTACAACTTCAGAGTCAGGCCCAGACACGGGCTTTATAACTGTAAGTGGTTCCGCAGTGCTCCCATTACATGGTTCAGATCGATCTAGCAGGTGAGAAGTTGGATTTCTCAGTTGTTGCTTCATCTCAGTACCGCGGAGAGAGAAGATGTCTCGGTGGAAAGTACTTTCTATCAGTGGAGGAAACAAGTTCTCAAAGGAACTTTTTGCCTTAAAAGGAAGGATAGGACTGGAGACATCGTACTTCATTGGATGTGAAGTCACCACCGATCAGATTCATCAGCTTCATAACTTCTATCATATCACAACCTGCTATGCACCTCAGTTGAGATTGTTTGTAAAGCTTCAGCCCTATTCAACTAAGATACTCTTATCCTATACCTCGTCCGAGGCATAATCGCAGTTGGAATCATCATACAAGTTTCCACATTATAAAAAGCCCAGACCGAGAATGTATCTCGCTAACTGTCACATACACTCACCTGTGATGGCAAAACAGACTCTCGACAATGGGCTTGTTCATACTTTCCATGCTCGTTCTGACCCTGAATACGTCAATCCGAGTCTAGCACCATTAATCTTCTCCGAAACACTCACAGCAGGTTACTTCGATGTAGCAGTTTTGACTGTCTTAGTCTATCATGCTCGTGTGTGTTACAACTAGTCGAAGCCAAATTCTACTGATAAAGTCAACTTTCTAGTTACAACTCTGGACAGAGAAGTAGACAATTACTCTCTGTTCATTGAATGCATGCTGAATTGTGTTCTTTTTTAAAGTTGAAATACTTCTGGGTGAGTTTACTGTCGTTTTCATAAATATTGTCACACGCGCGATTCGTGATTTTCGTCACACTAAGTACACTCAAATACAAAATCTACTATAACTCAACTAATACTTAACCAAATTACATGATCTAAGCTGTAAAAATTATACTTTTGAAGTATCTTTCATATTCCAGAAAAAATAAATTAAAATGATCAAAAATTGAGTAAGATACAACACAATATGTGAGTTTTCCCTATATTTCATGTATATGAGTTTTCCTGGCCCTAAAACTGATTGTACACTACTATAAACTAGTCT